ACAGATCAATTCTGGCCAGAGCTCAGGGCTCACAGAGATGATGAAGCTGCTGGCTCACAGCCTTGGAAATTTGGTTCACTTCAAAGACAACTGGACCATGGCCTGCCTTTCAACTAGCCTAACCTGGTTTAATAAGGAAATCATTGATGATAGCTGCTCCTCCTTTGAAGCTGCAGTTATGCTTTAAGGGAACTTGACCCTTTGGTGTTCTTTTCAGCACAGTACTAACCGAGGTAGCACATCCCATGTTTAAGTGGCGAGCCACTACAGGAGGTGCTGAAGACACCTCATCTAGAACTTTGCAGAGCACCCCAGTTATTCCCACTCAGGTGAATTACACTTGAAAAAGGAGCACAGCAAGGCTGGAACACAGATTTTAGCAGAGAAAAAGGGACCTCAGGAGTTGGCATATCTGGTCATGCTCTGCTAAAACAAGGGAGATTATGATTATTCCTCTGATGGTTGTACAGGCAGCAAACCCTATGGAGGAAGAATGGCAACTTGAGTCTGTATTGGTGCAAAACCGCAATGCTGGCTGTTGAATGGATTCGGGCTGAAAGTTCAAAGAAAGCTCCCGATGATCTGTGCAGACCTGAAACTGTCTGCTGAAGAAGCGGGGGCTGAGTATCTGGAGGCCTTTGAAACAGCTCTTGGTTCATTTGCAGATAAGGATCAGAAAGAGCAGATGATGGGATTCAGTGACCGATGAGATCACTCTTAATCTGGTTTTCTCACCTGCTTAAAATGGGATCAACAGGAATCCATGTTCATTTCCTTAAAAATTCTGTTTGCTAGAAGTATTTTAAAAAATAGTCTTCTGATTGGTGTTGTCTTTTCATATCATTACCAGCCATGCTGGTGCTGTATTGGCTGCTGAAGCTGCAGCAGAAGAAATTTGGCTTGGCCTGGTTTGCTGCAGTACAAATGGTACCCATCTCCTCCAAGGCAAGAGCAAATAAGTGATGAGCCAGAGGCAACTGGTTCCTAGCTTGGAATCAGATGGCCCTGCAATGCAAAGCGCTGCCCTGCTGACAAGAAGAAGTACATTTCTTTGAGCTGTTGACTTGTGCAGGTGCCCAAGACCAAGAGTAGCTTCTCTAAGGAAAGAAACAAGAATACAAGAATACATTTAGCATTTTAATCCAGAAAACTCTAACTGGCACACACCAGAATTGTGCAAATGGTAATTATCACCATTCAGGAGAGCTGGATGATGAGAAGATGCCATTCTTTCTTCTAATTGCTATAAAGCCTCTCAGTCTGATTAATTCTTTCCTTGGTATGTTTCCTTGTAATTTTTATTTGTGAGGTTTCTAGGGGATGCTAGAGGATCTTTTCCGTGGAAAACATATCCTGCACTCTCTCAACAGTCTTGGTGCCAGTAGGATCTGTGCATTCCTCATCACCCACCCAGAGATGCCTTCAAAGCCAAGCTCTGACCAAAAGGTGTTTCCTGGAGCACAACGGAACTAACACCTGCATCATGAGGTGTTTCAGTGGTGGTACCCTACCCTGGCTGCAGCTGTGTATCAAGGCCCTCACCTGCTGCAGCTCACAGCCAGATAAGAAATGGCATCATTTGCAGAGCTACAGGATGGCAGCACTGTTGCTCTGCCCTGGCCCCTTTAGCTGCCAGGAATAAAAGGAATAAATTAGGCTGCCAGGAATAAAACAGGCTACCCAGAGAAGCTTTGGGTGCCCTATTCCTGCCCTATTGGAACTAGATAACCTTTGAGACCCCTTCCAACCCAAGCCAATCTATGACTCTATAAAAAAGCAATGCTTATCCTTAAAAACAGCAACCCTAGCATTCGTGGAGAGGGAAACATCTACTAAGCTGGCAGAATTAGCTTGTTGTTTCATTTATAACTCTCCATGCCCTAGAGGGGCAGGGCTGCTCCACCAGGAACACGGTTTGCAAGGTAGTCTGACTTCAGTGTCACTCAACTCAAAGAGGAGCATGAGGACAGGGTCTGTACTGGGCACTGTGCACACACGGTGCCTATGACGTCAAGGAGAGGTGATGCAAAGTCAGGACTGACCACCCAAACTGACGGAACGACATCAGAAAGCTGTGCTTGGAGAACATATTTCTTGGGGCAGAAAAAGGAGAGAAAGAGAAAGAGAGTTGCCAGGGAGCTGAAGCCACGGTTGTTGGCTCATCAGCAGGTGCGTAGCCCAGCCCCATGGACAGAGAGGTGGGGTGGTAGCTGTCTCCTGCCCAGCACCCTCCTGCTCTCTGCTTCTTGGTGCTGTCCCTGAAACAAGGCTGCTGGGAATTGCTGCTGGCCCATCTCCTGCTGCAGAAAGCAGTAAATTCATATTCTCTCCCTTGGAGTGGTTCCCAGAACGTACGGACTTGCTTTCTTCTAACTGAGCCTTGCTACTTATTAGAAGGCCCTCCCTTAGTCCCTTGTCTTCCCTCCTTTTTGGCAACGGGATTTAGAGGTGAATTTATTGGGATCATTTGCTTTTCAGTCCGATGAAAACGAACAGGATCCCGATTCTGAGAGCAAGATCCTGAATGTGAGGTGCGCGTTTTTGAGAGCGAGATTGCCCTCTAGTGACTTAACAGCAGTGTAAAAGTTGTAGTTTCGCACGGTTTTCCTTCGTAACAGAGCAACAGATTTCCTATCGAGGTTTCCGCTGGAGGGAGCAGAGTTCCCGTGGCGAGCGCTGAGAGTGCCTTGGGTCTGTAGGAGGCTCCCAGCACCCACCAGTGAAGAAAGAATCCCTCGTCCTGTCAAGAGTTTTCTTTCTTTCCCCGATAGTGCCTGTGGGAGCCAGCAAATGCTCAAGAAACTAATTTTAAGAAGGGAGAAAGGGAATGGTCTCTGCATTCTGTAGCCAAGCCCCATTGCTATATCCTTTTTCAGAGGAGGATTGTAGAGTAAGGCCGTGAGTTTATAATCAGCATAAATGAAAAACTGCTTGCAGAAAGCTTACTGTGATAAAAAGATGCAACAGCTACATTTGCAAAAGACATTTAAAATAGAGACCTCTTCCATCATCACCACCACACAAAAACATTCCCACAACCTGACCTATACTAGGTGATAGTATATATCATACTTCCCATCCATCCCTCAGATTAAATTATTCCTTGTATCCAGCCCCTAATTCTTATACTAATTTTTCCTTGAAAGCCTTTTTCCTCACCCTTAATTAGTGGCTGTGACTTGCTGTTCTGGAGAAGAAGCTAGAGATGGTTCTGTACTTTGTAGTCAGTAGCACTGCAGCTACTGTTTTAAATAGTCACAACGGAATTTCCTGCAGCAAGAAAAAAGAAAAAAGTTGTCAGACTTGGCTCCAAGCAGGGCTCCATCTCTCTGGGCTCACTTCTGGCTTTGCTGATTCATTCCTGGCAGCTAAAGGGGCTGGGGCAGAGCAACAGTGCTGCCATCCTGTAGCTCTGCAAATGATGCCATTTCTTATCTGGCTGTGAGCTGCAGCAGGTGAGGGCACTGATACACAGCTGCAGCCAGGGTAGGGTACCACCACTGAAACACCTTCTGCCCCTGGCCACAGAGGGAGGTTGTATCTTCCACTAAACCCAAATGGAGACATGCATTAGTGCTCTAAAATATCAAATTTGAGATAAAGAGTTCTGGATGGTTTTTCACCGTCCTTCCAAACTGCTTTTGCCCTCTTCCAGCTTCAGAATCTACACACTACAACCACAACACAAATCAAGATACACTGGGAGACATTACTTTCTAGTCACAGCCCACTGACTGTGCTTGGTAGACTGACATCTCTGTGCTCCTTAGATGGAAGTGCAGGAACAGCTCTGTTCACCAGAAACAGGGAAGCTGTGCTTTAAGCTGTGTCATCAAGACATTGCCACTCAGGCTCCTTTTATAAGTAAGCCTGAAGCACAGAGGTTTAGCAAGAGGAGTTACCTGTTCAAAACAGTTCCATGCAACACGTTTACTAGTGGAAAAGCAACTTGGAGGGCATTCCCAGGGTGGATTCTGATGCAGGAGAACAGCACAAAAAGGACTGCACAATTGAGATCCCGCCTTGTCCTTCTCCCCCAGGCTGAAGCATTAATTCTGGAAGAAGACATCCTTTATTGGGTGAGGGATGAGGAAGCAAAAGCTCTTTAAGGCAATGACCACTGAGAAATCAGAGATGTGAACAGTATCCAGATCATCTTCTTTGAATATGGCCACTGACATTAGCAGAATTCAGCTCTTCATTTTGATCCTCAGTGATTTCTAAGTGCTGGTAACCAGGCTGAAATAAGAGGGAAAGATGCTGATGCTGGACACGGCTGCATTGACTGGACTTATCCTAAAACAATCCTTCTGCCAGACACTGATTTCTGTAGGAGGTCAACACTTGATCACCTGCAGGTTATCAAATTTTCTAAAAATATACTTAATACCAACACACATACTTGTTCAGGAGCCTAAGGAATCTTGTCTAAGATCTCAGGATGCATTGTGTCTGTCTACTTTTCCTTTGCAAAATATCTTTACTATTCCTTTGCAAGAAATGAAAAGCTTACTTGGGAAAACCAGACAAGTGGGAAAACCTGACAAAGCTGTGAGTAGCCAAGAAAGAAGATATTATTCATCCTCTTTCTTCTCCATCAGTCTGCTTCTCCTGTCTTCTAGGTTGTATCCTAGAAGTTGGATGGGTGAGGACATCTTCATCCTCTCCTGAATCCTTCCTGAACCTATAACAAACAAGTCATGAGCCTGGGATCAACGCTTCCATATAGCACAGCTCCCAAATGCAAGGTAACTCCTGCAAGAGTTAACTCCTGCATACAAAACCAAGCCAGAAAGCAGAGACTGTGCTGAAGGTGAATGGTAAGACCACAGTTTGACACACGGGGGAGATGCTCTGCCACAGATGGCCATCTTGCAGGCCACTCACTGCACCGGCTCCCTGGGGTTGGGCTGTAAATCTCATCCCTACTACCTCATCTTCTTGAGCAAAGAACATAGTTATTTACTTTCTTTCACAGGTATAAGAAAAAAGTGCACTTTGGTGTAGTTTCAGTGATTTAATAACATTAAAACCAACATTCTTTATGCTCATTGTAGCACATCACAGAATGGCCAGGGTTGGAAGGGACCTCAAGGATCATGAATCTCCAATTGCCCTGCCACAGGCAGGGCCACCAACCTCCACGTTTAATACCAGACCAGGCTGCCCAGGGCCCCATCCAACCTGGCCTTGAACACCTCCAGGGATGGGGCATCCACAGCCTCTCTGGGCAGCCTGTTCCAGCACCTCACCACTCTCTCTGTAAAGAACTTCCCCCTGACATCCAACCTAAATCTTCCTTCCCTCAACTTAAAACCATTTCCCCTTATCCTGCTGTTATCTACCCTTTCAAAGAGTTGATTCCCCTCCTGTTTGTAGGCTCCCTTTAGGTATTGATAGGCTGCAATGAGGTCACCCCGCAGCCTTCTTTTCTCCAGGCTGAACAAGCCCAGCTCCCTCAGCCTGTCTTCGTAGGGGAGGTGCTCCAGCCCCCTGATCATCTTTGTGGCTCTCCTCTGGACCCTCTCCAACAGCTCTCTGTCTTTCTTGTACTAGGGGCTCCAGATCTGGATGCAGATGGGGCCTCCCAAGAGCAGAGTAGATGGGGACAATCACATCCCTGCCCCTGCTGGCCACCTCTCTTCTGATGGACTTGTTTCTTTTGAAACCCTAAAACTTCTTTTCTTTTCTTAATATTAAAAGTGCTGGGAATGTTGAAGCTACAAGCCCTTGAAAAAATATTCTCCTCCTATGCAACACCCCAAAAGACATGGATGCTTAAAACTAGGGAAAGACCCACTCCTCCTCCAGCCTGCTGGTTGGAGCCAGGAGTGCAAACAAAATCTCTTCTGGCCAAGCCCCCCTGTTAGTTTGGCACTAACAGAACTGGCAAACATGAAGAAAAATATATTTGAAGTAACAGGAAGAAAAATGAAGGTGGAGGAGGAAAAAAAACTGAGGAGTCAAGAAAAAAAACATTCTTCCTCCTGCTTCCCTTGAGCTATTCAATACTACTGGCAGGGTTATCTTTGTACAGGAGCAGGACCCCATTTGATTGTAGGAGGAAGCATCACAAACTGTCTCAGAGAAGACTTCCACGTCTGTCATACCTCCAAAATAATGTTCCTCTGCTCTTCTGCAGAGTTGGCCTACAAGGCTGGCAGGGAATGATCTTTAGGGTCCCTTCCAAGCCGTTCTATGATCCTACAAATTAAACTTGCTGTCTTTGTGAGAAAGGAGGAGGCAGCCACCATCCATGTGCTAGGTTGCACAGCAGGTAGGCAGCAGAGTGAGACTCCTTTGCACCGTTTTTCTGCTTATGCACCACAAGACTGGAGGCAGAGAATAAGGCAGTTGCTGCTCTGACAGACACAGGGTTGAGTTTCATGGGCTGTACCTTCTAGGCAAGCTGTTGCTGTTGAAAGCAAATTAGATCGGCTGGGCATCAAGCAATGCCTTCCATCAGTTTTCTCCACCCACCACCACAATCTTGACATTTTGTTCATGCCATCAGTGCCAACTGCTTCAGAAAGCCAGCTGCAACACCTACTGGAAGGACAAGAACACCACCGATGAGGAGAACAAGTGGGAAACTGCTCAAAGTTGAGGTGAGGAAGCTTTCTTCAGCCTTAGTCCAAGCAGAAGACGGGGTTCTCTAGGAAGACAGCGAGCTTGCTGGCCACCACATCCAGGTCACTGGTGTTGGCATATTTGAGCAGATTGGTGTTCTTGACAAAGTAATGCTTGAGGAAGTGCTGGCTCACACACTTGTGCAGTTTCTGCACCAGCCTCAGGAAGGCTTCATGAAAGCAGCGCCAATCCTTGGTGCGTGGGTATTTTTCGCACGTCCAGAATAGCACTGTCTGCAAGAAGCAGATGGGAAAGAAGAGGTGTTAAAGGTTCTGCTAAGGGCTCAAACAGCTTGCTAAGGCAGTTAGAGTGCTGGTAAGTGGCTGACAGCCTTGGAAATTGGAGAGCCTCGCACTGCAGTCTTCCTGCATTAATGAATCTGTAACAGAGGGATCACAACCAGCAGCCTAAGGGAGAGCCCTTTCACCTTCCCTTGGCTGTCCCTTTTCCTTTGCCTTGCAAACCTCACTGGACATACCAAGGATCTTGCACAGATGTCCAGAACAGGCAGGGAAGGAGGATTTGCAAAGGCCAGGGACCTCTGCAGAAAATGCCAGGTGTTTTAAGCTGTAGAAAGTGACCTATTATATAAGTGTAGAAGTGTAGAAGTGCAAGGAGGGAGAGAATAATAATCTTATGAGCATAGCTGTTAGCTTCAGCCATACTTGTGCTGAAGATGCACGCAGATTTTCTTTCTGGGTACACTGGGATTCCAAGCAACTCTTGCCTGTCTTCTTCTGACACAAAATACAGCATGTGTTATGACCTCTTCCTCCAAGTTTATTTCATGTGATATCATAGAATGGCTTGGGATGTAAGGGACTTCAAAGACCAACTAGTTCCAGCCCCCTGCTGTAGGCAGTGTTGCCAGCAGCTAAATCAAGACCGACCAGGAATCCATGAAGCCTAGCCTTTAATGTCTCTGGGGTGCAGCATCCACAGGTTCTCTGGGTAGCCTGTTCCTGTGCCTCACCACCCTCTGAGTGAAGAACTTCTTTCTAACATCTAACCTAAACCTCCTCTCTTTCAGTTTAAATCCATCCCCCTTGTCCTATCACGATCTATCTGCATAAAAAGAGAAATCAATAGATTAAAAAATGAGTTCCATATGATTATTGCTCTCATAACATTATTTTCATGTTGCCCATATTACATTTTTACAGGCTTTTCTGTTTGTGAAGAATTTTTTGGATATACTTACAGTTATTGTACCAAAAAAAGCAATATTGACCATCTTCATCAACCTGGAAATCATTTCTGAAACAAAAAAAGTCACTGATCTTGGGTGTAAGAATTCCACTCTGTTTCTTAGTGTTCTCTTAACTCAAATTTTCTTTTTCAAATTCAGTGCCCCAAAGAGACCTCCAAGAGATGCTGTGGTACACGGCTGAACGGCTGATACACGGCCTTCAATTCCTCTGCTTCCTCAAAGTTAAGAATTTCATCAAAATAAGGCATTATTTTCTAGATTGCCTGTTTTCCCCCTCCACTTGGCCTTGCAATAGTTGTAGTGTTGGGGAATTTCTTCTCAGATAGCTTTTCAATTGTGAGCAAATTTTATTCATAGCTGTAATAACCACAAAATCTTTTTGATGTTGCCAGGGAACAAAAGACATGGCGAGGAATTCAAGCTGGAGCTTACTAAGAGCTACTCCTTGGAGATTTGCAGAGCAGTTATCTCCCATCAGCACCACCGCCGCTTCTGCAAGATCTACAGGCAGTTGTTAGAGTGGAGTTTCCAGAAGCAAGAAAAATAGCGCTGTTTTTCCAGTCAGGTCTTTCAGATGTCCTGATTATGAACATCATTCCCCCATAATAGATACTGAGACCGTATCTCGATATCATGGTGATGCCTACCTGAAGATGATAAGCTGTGATGACGGGCTTATTTCCAGCACACCAGACGTCCTCCTTCATCTGCCTCATGACTCTGAAGCATTTCATGCGACAGCCACCATCTTCGTCGAGGCCTTCCATGAGTATATGTTCAGCACGGGAGAAGCACAGCTGCCAGTGATAATTGGAGCGGGCCAAGAGGTCAAAACCAAGCGACTATGGGCAAAAGGGAAAGTGTGTCACCAGATCAGAGGCAGACTTCTCTGAGCAATGCAGAGGGCTGTTACAGAGAGGCTGTATGTTAGCAGAGGCAGCAAACATGGTTAATTTTCCCATTGTAACTCCTTGATGGAACAAGCAATTTGCTTTCTTTCCTCATGTGGTGACATCGGTTACTCCTGGGAGATTCAGCTCTAGAGATGCCAGGTACAAACAGTGCTACTAAAGCTGAGGCACAACTCTACAGGCAATTTGCCATAGAGCAGCAGGTCCTGAGCAAGTGGGGAGCAAGCAAGACTGGAAGGCAGAACTCGATGTGTGGGATAATGGCAACTAGGACTGGTCTGTTGCCAAAGGAAAATGTTGAGGTAGTACCCCACTTGCAGAAAGATTACATGAGACAAAGCAAAACAGCAAGAAAAAATGCACTCAGCTAAATGGCCAAAGCTATTTGCAAGAAACCCATGCAACAGATGTTAAATCAGTTTTCCCTCCACAGAATTCACCATCATTAAGAAAAGAAATTCTCAGTAAAATCCAAATAATTTGAAATATTCTCTTCCAAACCTTCCAAGCCTTCCAAACCACTATCACATACCTGCAAAGTAAAGTTCTGCACAGACTTTACAGTTGTTTTTGCACTGCTCACCTTGATGCACTGCACTTTTTCCTGAGAAGGCCAACGCTTGAGGCAACGAGGCCACCGGGCTTTCTCAGGCCAGCAAGTTGGAATCTCCACTGTAGGAGCCAGCTCCACCTCAACCTGGAATTCTGATGTTTCCACAGCCACTCGAACCACTGAGCTGAAGCTCTCCAACATTGTCACTTTATCTGTGAAGGAACAATGTGAGAGGTGATAAAGGTGAAAAGATCCTCTCCTCAAGTCAAGCAAGGGGCTGTGTCGTGCCCGTGTCCAAATTGAGACTTGCAGTTCCATTGCTGTCTCAGTACTCTCTTCAATGACATAAGTGGAATACAAGAAAAAGCTTATTTCAATCTGCCCAAAGGAATGAGAGCAGAAGAAAAACTAAACATGGTCAATGTTGGTCCAACTATGTTCATGGAGGAAGTTTCCGTCCCCATTTTTCCCTGTCATTCTGGATGGATCACTGTTCCTTCAGTTTTGCTGTTCGAGCCAATGATGTGATCATCCTCTAACCCACTGAAATAAATACAGAGCAGATTACCATAAGCAGTTTAAGTAATTGTGTGTTAATCCACCTCAGTTCGACTGACGCTGGCTAGGGATTCCAATTCCAAAAGGATTTCATGCAGCAGGCATGAAGGGATAATGATGAATGTTTAGGATAGTAACTTCTATTTTCACCAAAGAAATACCCACCTAGTCCTAATTGCAATTTAGCATCTCCTCCAGAAAGCACAGTGGAGTCCATCTCCAGTATAACTTTATAAACATCAGTAAATCTGGGTGTTATTTCCCCACTGAGCCAAGCCTGGCACCAAAACAGGAGCTATACTTCTCCCAAGATCTCAGCAGAGGGACCAAGCAGCTGAAAAGCATTAAAGCCATAGCTTTGTCAGCACTTAAATAAATTCACAGCATTTCCATAAGTATCACGACCGTGCTGCCTATGATGAGCTGCAGCTAACACAGTGGCAGGCTTTCACCTCAGCACGATGACTTCCTCATAAGTAAAGCTTCAGATGAAAGCTCTTTCCATATGATCTTTTCTATGAGCCTCAATGGTGACACTTTATCCTTCTTTTCCTTTCAGTAATAACAAACAGTTGCTGGAAGAATGCAATCATCTAGCTGAACCTGACTTTAACATCTTTTCTCCTGTGAGTAAAATTTGAAGTGTCATCAGAGGAGGTGAAATACGTCTATATTTCTAGAATATGGAAGACCCATTTCAGGCTGCTGATGGGTAAAGATGTTCTGCAAATACGATGTGAGAAAAAGCACCGTAGTCTGAACTTGACCATGTCACAGTATCTTATTGTGAAAAGATGAACATAAACCGTTCAGCTTGGATGAAGCCATGTGTTCATTAGCTGCAGTCTATAACATGCCTTTAGGACGCTAAGAATTAAATATGAGGATCACTGTTTAGGCAGCATTTTGCTGCAGATGTCGCAGCTATGAAGGCATGTTGCATGCACCACTGATTGCATTATGTCAGCACTTCCAGTACAAATTGCCACAGGATATACACAGGCACTTTGGAATTGCTTACAGAGGAATCAGCATCACTACTGAAAGCAAGTTTCCATGATATCTACTGAATAGTCTGGGCACTGGGGAACATGGAACACTTGTTCAACAGACTTTTTTTCAAGACCTTCTACATACTGGAAAGACATGGGCACCTAAGTCTTCCCTAGAATATTACCTGCCCTATTCATATTTTCAAACACTTCTCCAGCTTACACACTTTACCCTGTATGCAATTTTTCCTACAGCATCTTTCTGACTAGTCATGTTGCAACTGCTGTACCAGAAAAAAGATTTTTTTTCCCCACATCCCAAACTGCTTTGAAAATCTGGGTTGCATCTTGGTTGAGGGTGATGTTGGTGGAGAACTTACCCAAGTTCCCAAAAGAAGAGCACCATTTTGAAGAACTCAAGGTCTACTTAATTCTGTCTTCAGTGCAGGTCTAAATTTGCACTACTGCAATGGGTTAGAAGCTCCCTGACGTTGGGAGGGTTTGTTGTTTTTTAACTTCTAATTATGTGAATGGCACAAACACTTTGTGTACATAGTAGTTCCCCCTCTGCTAGCTGCAGAAGACAGCCAGTTCCCCTTATACCCATCCCCACTAAACTCACTGGAGAGGTTACAGGAAACAATTGACTTTTCCACCAGCTCTCGGAAGACGATAAGGACTTTGGCTGGAACCAGGTCACCTTCAATGTTCACATCTGTTTCGTGCCACTGCTGAAGGCTTTTTGAGAACTGTTCCACCTCGAGCCATTGATGCAGCTCCTCAGGATCCCGCACAGAGGAGAGTAGCTTGGCTCCGTGCACAGTGTAATAACGCCAGTGTCGGACCTGGCTTTCCCTGTACCCAGTCAGGCCACGTAGAGGGACAGTGATGAGGAATTGGCTCGGTGCTAAGACCTAGGAGAGTTTAGAGAGATTAGGAATACAGGCAAGGGCAGATGAGTGATCATAAGGGTTAAGGAAGTAACACGTGCAAATGGAGGCTTTGAAGGGAAAGAAAAAATATGGTAAAATAGGAATGATTGAACACATCCAGGACCTGTTCCATACCTGTCTGAGATTTACCTTGGAGGTACACGGAGTGAGAGGAAATTGTCCTTTAGGAGTCTGATGTGACAGACATGGCCCATAGAAGACAAGAGCACACTCTGGCTGGTTTGCCACCACATCTGCCATAGTTTTCCCCACTCCTTGTTATTTCTAGTCTGCAATTGTACGAAATGTAATAACTAAGAGCTTCCAAGGTGCAGCAGAGCAACAGAGAGCTTGTTCTGAGATTCAGCAATGGGAAGCAAAATAGTTCAAGTTCTTAACTCAGAGCCATTACTAGAGATAAGCCTAGAGTTCCACAGTTCCACAGCTATGTCAAAAGTACACTTTCTGGATCTTTTCCAAAACCCACTCGTGACATTAGTAGAATAAGTCCACAGCCCATTCATTTTACAAGCATTTCACTCTGCCTGACTAGAATATCTATCCTCCATTAAGGAGACATAGACATCAAGGCAAGTGACATGCCTGAGCCTACACAGGCAGTGGCATTGTCAAAAATAGGTTTTGGGAAGTGCTGTATGAGGCTGCATCTCCCACTGAGCAGAAGCGAGAAGCAGAGTAAGGATGGAAAAATGATCAGTGGATAACACCCAGAAGCAAGCTTGTTTGCAAAACAATAAATCAGCCTCGCTTTGAGGATAACCATTCTCCAACCAAACCAGCACTCAACTGGCATTTGCAGAGTGAGTAAGGTGACTCAGAATTTCAGAAAACCTCATACAGGTTCAGGACACAGCCAGAATTGCCAGGTTTGGAAGTATTTGGCCAATCTTGGCTGCAGGTGTTGGTTTCCAAACCCATTCAGACTTTTCCTATGTTGACTCTGAAGCTTTTCAACTTCTGTTGAGTCCAAGTCTTACTTACACTGACATTAAGCAGGTAAAAGAGCTGTGTGAGCAAGATGTGGTGACAGCAGTTGCTGAAAGGCTGGAAGGTGGTTACCTCAAGGTCAATTAAGCACCCTTATCATTCTCCAGAAACAATCCCAAGCATATAGATAGTCTTCAGTGTAACTTAGAATTTAAAACGTTACTGCAGAGGTGCCGAGGCCCGGCGGGCACTGACAAGACCTTCATGGCTCCAAGCAGGCTTTCTGGGGCTCCTACCCACACCTTTGCCCATGGACCTCCATTTCAGCTCAGCCCCAGACGTGCTCCTTCCCATAACAAAACCAGCTTGTAAGGGGGTGGCTGTCATGCCCCTCAAAATCAAAAGGGCATGCCAGAAGGGCTGGGAAACAACAGCTTAGATATAGGCAAAAGGAGAAGGGTGTTGGGGTATAATGCAGATCTGGACCCTATGCAAGTGTATGCTGTTTGACAAGGCTCCAACACCACTTTGAGAGGTTATACTCATACCAAATTCAGCTGTGCAGCTAGTGTCCTCAAGGCCTAAACAAACCCCAGGTCTCTCTACCCATGCTCTGTCACACCAGGCTTGCATGCCAGAGCCAGATTTCAGGACCCAAACAAGTCACAGGCTGTGATCCAGGAGCGTTCGGTTCTGCAGCATATAACCTGTGGCCAATCCTGTTGCATTAAAAACCTGCCTGCAGCATGTTGATTAATGTAAGTGCAGCCAGGATATCTCAGGCAAGTGGAAGCATTAGGTTAGAAATACAAGCAATAAATAAAGTTTCTTGCAGAAAGACTAAGATAGCTATGGGGGACAAATTAGGAGGATGAATTGTCTGGAGAAGAGGATGGGTGAGGAGGAAGCAGGCACCAGAGGGTGTTGTACCTGGATGGATGGGTGGAACGGGCGCTTTCCCCGCAGCAGAGCTGACCACTTGGCCAGTAAGCCCGGCTGATCCTGAGAGCAGCAGAGAGGAAAACGAGAATCACACAGATCAGAGAGAAAGCATGTGGCAGGTCATTCATTCACCAAGAAAAGCTGCAAGCGTACTACAAGCCTCTTTGCTAAAGGAAAGAAATCTCCCCTGCCAGCATAACAGAGCTGACCACTTGGCAATGTGGTTGGCCAGTGCTGTACTAGGAATTACTCTGGATGTTAACCTGCTCCTTACATCTTTATCGAAGCCTCCGCAGCCTTTGCACCAGAACTGCACAGATGGCGGCTGCAAAAAAACCAATGGACCACAACTTGGAAGCTGTAAAAAAAGGGAGCTATTTAATTTGGTCTCTCTGAGTTTTATTTCAAGTTCTCTTAAAGATTTTGGCCTTCTGCCCCTGAATTGCAGAAATAAAACAACACTGAGTATTAAAAACTTTGTTAAATTCCCCACGTAGCCCTGTGTATCTAAAAGGAGGCTTGTATAGTTTCTCAACATATCTACACTCTGCATCAAGTTAAATCCTTTTAACCAGAAACTGGAAGTTCTGAAAAGTCACCATAAATTTAATTTACAGGAATAATAAAAAAAAGATGCTGCAAAATTAAACACGGAATTGTTAATATACTGACTTTCCCTTGAGACAAATCTCCTCTAGGGTGAGTTATCTCAACAACGATATTAAAGATTCTATTTTTTGTAAGCAGAACAGACCAACTCAAAAACATTTTCTTATTAACCCATTCTTTGCTGCCCCATGCCTACAGCACAAAGTCAGCCAGCCCTCCAAGTGTGATTGTCATTGACTTATAGCACTGGGTTAAGTGACAAATCTGCCATTTTTAAAGAAAATATGTTTCAGGAATTTCTTTTAAGCTGAGGGTGTTCAGACCAGGCTACAGTATGCCATTGTGATTCTACCGATCAGAATAGGTTGCCTTGTTTTTGTTCTGTTTTGTTTTCCAGAACAGCCATTTTACCTTGGGCCTGGTTTTGTCAGTCCTCATAAGCCAAACAGGTTTGTTCCAGTATGAGAGGTGGGTGGCAGACCACAGAACCAAGGAAGGCGTGGATCAGGATGTGGCACTGTGTTGTGGCACTGTGGTCATTCCTACTGGCAAGCACATCTGCCAATGTAAATCTGAATGTGTTTATCTGCAGAGCAACAGCCAATTTACAGCCTGGATGACCCTATGCTGCCTCCACCCCCATGCCCGTCAAGCAGCTTCATACCCAGAATTCTTCCCTCTCAATCATAGACAGCTATAAAGGTTGCCTTATGCTTTCACACACTGTGCATTTATCCATAAGTGGCTGCATTTTAGTGTATGGGTTGACATAACTGGAGTATGCACTCTACTTCAGATGAGAGGGATCATTTTCATCTGAAGTTGCCATTGCTATCAGTTATTACTTATACCCTTATGGTCGTTATTGCTGTGCTAAACAGTCAAAGAAAACAATCAGTCTCCTGTCACGCCTGGGACAGGACACTGTTGTTTTGGTATCTGATGGTCTAAAATGACTTCTCCCACTAATAAGCATGTTTCTTCCCAGGAAAAAGAAGTTCTAATTCATGACCAAGAAAAAAACAATATATTTTTCTGAAGAAGCTTCTTATGTTCACAGCAGAAGAAAGCATTCTGAAGTTTTTTTTAGTGAGTTGACAGGTTTTTCACCTGTGAAAAATATGAGTCATAGCTCATCCAGACATGGGCATTTTTTCCTTTTAATGTTACTGCAGTACTTTTTTTTTTCCTGTCTTTTGGCTTCTGTGTGCAGATTGACAGCTCTGGCAACAGCGTCTCTTTGTAAAAGCAGCAGCTGTGAAAAGAGACTCTGCCTCATTTACCCATCCCTCTCTGATATACCTCCAGTGTTAAGATGCCCACAAGTACGTTCTTATGACTCAGCCAGTCCCCACACTGAAATGTCAGCATATCTTCCGTGGTGCTTTACTTGGAGGTACCTGTCCATACACTTGCAGAATGGAAAATCACTGACTGATTGCCATACGAACTACAGACACTACACTAGATCTCTTGTCCATACCTTAATATTCTCATTGTGAATGCCAGAGTTGGAGATAGCCTGGAATCGTGTGGCCTTAGAGCTGATTTCTGCGGTCAGTTGCTGGATGATTTTCTGCACCTCCTCCACCGTTTTGGAGACCAGATAATGGCGTGGCTCCACCTGTCAGTTGCAAGAAAGACACTTCATATTAGAGATAACTGCAGTCTTTGTCTCCAGTGGTAAGAACAATCCGTTTGGTGAACCCTGAAACATATATGCCTATGCTGCAATGGGAATAAATCTTGTTCCCTTTAGATTACAGTCAACATACCATGACATGGAGCTCTTTCTGATGAACACTGAAAGGCAAAATTCAAGACTATAAAGGATTACTTGATATTCTTACGCCATAGCAGTGAATGGAAGAGAAGGATTTAATTACATGGATGAATTTGCTAACTATCAACTGCAGCCTTGTTTTTCACCCATTTTGATCCAGGACAGCCAGCTATTCCCCTTGCAGAGCCACTCTCAGAGTCGGATTACTTTTTGCTCCAAGAGCTGGCAAGACTACAAGAATAACAGATAACTCATGCATTAATCAGACTGCAACTATATGTGGCAACAGTGTAGTACAGTGAAAATATCCATACTATCTTCATATCTTAATACAGGGTCCCTGCTTAGATGGTGACAAGGTATTTTGCCAAAGATGTTCCCGTTGAGGGCTGGGAGTTTGTGTGACCTGGTAGATAGTCCTTCAATTCAAGCAGCATTAGTGCAATTATTTATAAAAAAATATTTCAGTGGAAGGTCTGAAGTGAAGAATGGAAAACTGCTTGCCTAGGATCAGTTATCCAAGGAAGAGCAATTGGAAAGTTGGAATAAACACCTCTCCTTTCTCAGCCAACAAAACTGGTTGTTGGGATTGTTCAGTCTGGAGGAGGCTCAGTGGAGACCTTATTGCTCTCTACAACTGACTGAAAGAAAGTTGTGAAGAGGTAGGGTCAGCCCCATATCCCCACGTAACTGGCAATAGAGGGAATGGCCTCAAGTTGTGACAGGGGAGACTCAGGTTGCAGGTTAGGAGCAGTTTCTTCTCTGAAAGGTTGGTCAGGCGCTGGAATGGACTGCCCAGGGATGTGGTAGAGTCACCTACCCTGGAGATGTTCAAGAAACACTTAGATGTTGTACTAAGGAACATGGTTTAATAGGGAAATATTGGTGGTAGGAGGATGGTTGGATAAGATGATCTTGGTGGTCTTCTCCAATTTTGGTGATTCTATGATAGGTAACAGTATTTTTACTAAGCCTTTATAGTATTTACAAGAGGGAAACACATCAAGAGAGCGGTATTATATCCCCTTTGGCCAGACTCTCATCTACCTTTGGCATCCCGATTTTTTGCTATGGTAATAACACACAGTCCCTTACGCTTGTATCTAATACAGACGTAATACACGTATCCACCTGTAGCTATAGCTACTTTCTTTCACTAGTCCAGATGAATGCCTTAGTTCTTAGAGCAGTCCAATGAACTTGACTTGCTCAACAAGACACCTAAAGGCTCCTTCAACAAGTAAATTTTATGAGTGACAGTGAAAGTTATCCTCCCCTAAGAGCTTTCAGAGTCTACAAATAAACTGTTTAAAGTGTATCATCACCGTTGGTTGGCTCAAGCTGAGCTCCAGGACTGCCCCTTGTACTCCTTCCTCATGTTGTGTTCTCTTTGAGTGCTACCTGTCAGAAACACCTCCTTCTCTCTCTGGTATCCTGGAAGAATCCATCCAACCTAGCATGGCCTTATTTAATTGCACCTTAATTGCCTACTTGCTGAACTTCAGCTGTTGCCACAAAGCATTTAGGACAGTACAGACTCTAAAAACTTCAGGGAGGTACCACTAAACAACTCCTTCTGCACGTAGGTCTTCATCACTGAGACAAGGATGGAAGAACAAATTACATGAGACTTGTATTACCCACAGCTAATTACAAATACCTACCCAGTCTGCTGCTGCAAAGTAGAACCTTCCTACAGAAGGGAAGCCATAAATGTCAGAAGACAGAATATAAGCAAGTGAACGCAGTTTCTGAAGGGCCAAGGCATTTATCTAATGTGTTTAGCACCAGCATGAACACATTGGGAAATAAGTCAGAGACAGTTCTTCATCAGACAGCCATTTCTACCACCTATTGGTGTTTCCATTACCAAGTGTTGACTTCAGAAATTTGCCAGAACAACAAGGTTGATTAAGGCTTCATTATGGAGGAAAGAAAAAGGACTAAGATTGACTGGAAGTTGTGAAGAATGTTTGAGTTTGCTTTCAGTTTCCCAGTCACCTGCACTAAGTATGCACTCGCATATTTCCTTTGCTGGATGAGTGGGTTAAGGAAGAAGTCATTGGTATCAGAGATTCATTGCTACAGGAAGAAACTAGTAACAGTAAGCCATCAGAGCTGGAAGGCTGCTGGAAAACAAATTTTCAGTTAAAAAGGAAAATATTTGCTTCTATGAGCCTCAGAGCAAGGCTCCACGTCTGTTCTGTACACATGGTGGCTGTACGAGCATCTCCCTTGTGCACGGCTTCCCTCCGTTCCTTCTTTTATAGCTCTCCTTATATAGTTATAGTTCTCCTTAGAGAATGGTTCACTGTTATAGCTCACTGAACAGATTCTGATGGAATGCTCTTCCAATGCAAAACACTGAATAGGTGAAAACGGAAGCTCTCAAAGGCATTTGATTACTTGTCACCAAAACATTTCCATAGAAAAAAAAACAAACAAACATTTGTTACCAGCCCTTTGATGGTATTAGAATATTTCATCCTTTTCTGAAAGTAGGACTTACAGCTTTCCACTTGGAAATCATTTTTCATTTCAGTATCTTGCATTTTGTAATGGGAAACAGACAATCAGATAGAAGTTAGCTAAGCATCATGATGAAGCACAAGCTTTAAAAAAAACAATATATTACAGCTCATTTAGAATCCCTTTTCATAGAATGTACAATTTTATTGATTATTTTTATTGTTTTACTTCATTTCATACTGGCGAAAAATATCACAGCGCAGGAATAACTCTATGAAATAGAAAATGTATCTCCAACCTGCCTGTACTGAGACATGCTATTCAGTTGTGTGAAGTATCCTCAGCTGAGGTGACAGAAAATGGGAGAATTCAAGCTGTTTTCACCTCTCCCCAATTCCTGCATGCATCATTTTAAGAATCAGCCCCTGCTGTTGTGGCTTTGGTCTTGTATCTGTCAATCCAAGACCACTGGACAAGGAAAGAGGTGAGGGCTTCTCCCTAGATTAAGTGCTAGTGATCAGAGCTCATCTCACATCTGGAATTATGAGAGCGGGAACAAAAACTCAGGAAATATGAAGATATAGAAGAGAACATGCAACTCGGAAAACAAGGCTACCGGCCAAGATCCCTGATAACATTCTGCAACAGAAACCTAGAAATCTCATTAGAAATACAGTTCTCATAAAACTTCACCCAGTCATGTCTCAAAAAACGAAGACAGAAGGCAAGCAACTAGCTGTCAAGTTTGGCACCCTTCTGAATCAACACCTAGTGTGGGAGACAGAAAATCTGGACAGATAAAGCCTTACCTTGCTCTGGATGTAGATTTCTACTTCTTCATCTGTGAATGGTTTCATGGCAAGATGGTCGTCACTGTTCTCTAAAGTGTGAATTCACTCTTCACTTGTTCGCCTGCATCTGGAAACAGGAGGGACACTCAGAGAGAGCTGCTCAGAGCCACCTAATTCCTCTGTGCATGAAGAAATGGAGAGAGAAGCAAGAAAATATGCCTTTTTTTTTTCCCCCCTCTGGCCTGAATAGCCCAACTTCTTAGGAAAATTAGCTCCAATTATTATTTTCTAAACTTGACCATTATTATTTTTGCTATGATTACTCTTAAACGGTACGTCTTGCATGCAGGCACACCCACAAATGTCCCAGTTACTGCTTTGTCTCGGCAGATCCTTTCAGGTTGCACTGCAGACCGAGTAGGTTCATGCACAGCATTATCATTCTGTGCACCACAAGTACTTCCCTGCCTCTCTAGCCCTTCATTAAACCATTTGTCAAACACTGCCAGTTATCCTTTGTTGACTTCAATCCACACATTTTCCATCGGAAACGGTGTGGGTATTTTTACACTCTGATCATTCATTTGGGTTGCAGGCTTCAGTCTCGGTTCCTCTCTCCTTAAATCTCCTGCCTCTCTCCAGCTGTATTGACAGTAAATATCCTGCTGCCCGTCCCCTCCTGGTTGCTTGCTTTGTTTTCTTTACAGTAAACAGGCAGAACACTCTCCCACTTTCTGACAGCAGCTCAGCTAACAACCCTGCATGGATAAATCAGTGAGAAAAACAATTGATCAGGATTTATTGATCCAGTGAGGGCTGCTGGCTTTAAAAAAAAAGGGTTACATCAGCACATGGAAAGGAATGATAGAGTATATGGATGAGATCCAATGCTGCTTCCTTACTAGGGAAGGCACGCTCTACTTTATTTCCCCTGCAAATTGAACTTTGACATCCCTTGACTGACATTATCATCACAGCACCTAGCAAATAGCAGCACATCCATAGGCACTGGGTGCTATCTCAGAATCCCAGAGCAGGCTCTTTCGTTGCTGTGTATCTTTTGTGATCATCATTTCTTATTAAGAGCTGAATGCTAAGTACGTTAATGGAGAACCAATACCTGAGGACATCCAATCTCCCAGAATTTACAAATCAAACTTCTCTCCGTGCCTCCCTGGCACCAAAGCTGCCTTTTTCTTTTTGCCAAGAGACTTGGGGAATATTCAAAAAGACATATAGAATCACAGGATGGCTTGGGTTGGAAAGGACCCCCACAATTAACAAGCTCCAACCCTCTTGTCACAGGGCTAGAGCACCAGCCTCCAGATCTGGTACTAGGCCAGGTCGCCCAGGGCTCCCAAACCTGCCTCCTTGGGAGATGGAGCCCTCTATTTTCAGGAATCCTACCTCATCATTTCTAGCTTCAAGACTTACTGGATGTCTTCCACCTGAGGAGCCAGTGGTGTGAGAGCCCTGCTAGAAAGATCAGATGGAAGACAGGATCCAAAACAAGTAGGCTGCAAAGGGCTTGTAGGGCTGTATTAGACGGAATTAGTTCAAACAGCGTGCAAAGGAGGAAAATGAGCTTTACAAATGGTCAGATTTGGCTAAAAATATGTCTCTAATACCTTAACTTCCTCGTGCCCCCTCAGGTGCTGTATGCACAAAGATAACTTCCATAGCAACCTCAGTACCATACATTACTTCAATATCCAGAACATCAGGTATGTATTAGGAAGCAAGGAGCCAGTCTCACTCTCTTGTACATATTAGGTCTCTCCTTGTGACAGCTGTCTGGAGTCACAGGTGCTGGCAGATACACAAAAAGCATGGGTTTGGTCATTTTTCTTGTATACAATAAAACACTTCAAGTTTATCATCACTTTCCATTGTAAGCACTTCTCCAAGAGGATCTAGACATCCCCAGCTCCCTCTCGCTATAGAGAAGAATATGGCATGAGGATGTCCCTCAGGAGGTCTTCACTTATACATAGCCAGCTGACCACTGACAGTCCCCCAGTTTCTGCTTGATGAGCATCCATTGGTTTATCCAGCTGTTCACATGCATTTCCGATCCAGGCTTCAATATCTTCAGTCGTAGTTCCCTGCTGATCTATGTAAATTATTTTGAATTTATTCAGCTGTATTACACACTCCCCCTTTGTTTTATTTCAGTGCCCACGTAGCACCTTCTAACAGCATTCACTGTGGCCAGTTTCCTCCGTACCTCTTTTGTTTTGTACCTGTACCCTCAGTTGCTTATTGATATGCTTCTAGGAGTATTCAAGGATTTCCTAAGATCTCCAACTATATTGATCCTATGATAGGTCATCACTGTTTGGGCCTTTGGCAACATTCAGAACTGGATATGATTGTGGTTCTGGGAAGCCCACACAATAGTATTTGGTGAATATATACCTTGAGTTGTATTGGATTGATTCTTGTATCTTCTGAAGCTGACAATTACGGATGATTTCTATGCTTGTCTGGCTTTCCTTCCTTCACTCTTTAGTTCTATAAAGATGACAAATATATTTCAAACATGCAGTCAAAAAGCATTTGAACCATGAAGTGCACAACAACAAAAAAATCACGAGCATCGTGTAAATAAGAACAGTAGTATTAGCTGTACAAGAAAGTCCAATATTGTGGTATTTTCTGTTTTGAAGCTATCTGGAACAGCTACTCATATGCAACAGTAGGCACGCATTAGAAAGCCTCTACTAAATCACACAAATGAGTTAGCCCAGTGTACTGCTTGTGACTCACAGATGATCTGCAGTGGTAACAAATAAGCCCCATTGAAGATGATGCTGCCTTTCAGATGAAATACACCACTTAATTTACAGTTGCTAATGATGACCCATCACTTCTTGCTCTAATTACCAGAGGCATTAAGTCTGCTGCCAAAGTTATGTACTTGGGTCAGGAGAGGCTACCAAAACAAATCATCCCTGTAGATTTAATAATCTCTGACAGTCCTCTTGCCTTCTTAAACTGTTGCCCTGTTTCTCCCCATTAGTGGACTAAGTGACTGTACGAAATGATAACTGTAGCTTGAATCCCCTATATTTATGCTGTAACAGTCTTTAGCAGCAATGGCTCAGTATTACTCAGTCTCCATTCAGAGGATACTAGCATAACATAACCAGACTTTTTAGGGGCATAAGATCTGTGTGTTGATTTGTTTGGTTTTCTTTGTTGTTTTTTTTTTTTTTTCTTTTTCCACTTTGTCTTTCAACAGAGAGATATGAACAAAAGGGAGGCTTCAATGACAAAAGCCCGGGATGGGTTACAGGGAAAAGAAAGTGTTGCTAATTCACTCTGACAGCATCAGAATCATGCATGGATGCCAAATTGAAATGCTTCTCTGCTCATTCCCACCCCTCACTGATCAATACTTGGCAAGCTCCAAATGCTCCTACTGCTTGGTCTCACTGCCCAGCATTCTTACATCAGTCCTGGACCTGTACTACATGCACATGAAGCAAGCTGAAGGCTATATCCTTTCTACTCTAAGCACAGCACTGGATCGGGTGTAGCTTGATGTCTTTTCTCCACTTGTGACCAGACTGGGCATGTCAGAAAAAGGCAACTAGACTTTGCCAGAAAATAGTTCCCTCACCTGGGAAATCTTGAAATTCAAACCAATTTGCAACCTGAATCTTTTCAGGCTTCGGAGTAGTATTTCTAAAGAAAGTGATCATCACAGGAGAACCAGTTGAGGATGCAGAAAATGCTGAAAATTACTGAGATTGTGAAGCAGTTGCCCTCCACTGACCACCCCCAACCAGCAAATTCATGCAAATGCAGTCTGTTTTGCAGCTGCTAAGCAGCAAGTCACAGGGTAACGAACACAGAACATACAGCTTGATTTCTAGTGTTGCTAAGATTATCGGCACCCGGTGCAGTGAGTTGTGTAGAGAGCCTGGAAATCTCCAAGTTCATAAAGGTCAGCTCAAGGGGCAGCGTGGGAGACAGGTTGCACCAGCTCTGAGGTTCCCAGGACAGTTCTGACTGAGACACAGGCAAGAAAAGGCACCGTTTGACTTCTTAGTCCATGCATTGCCCTCTGGAAATTCATTGAAGTAGTCAAATTTGGTGCACTGAGATTTAAACAAAATATGTCAGCAGACCATTTCCAAGCGTCTGTAAAGGATATTTTTCCTCCATGACTGTTTTATCCACCACTAAACTACAGGGACTGATCTCATTTCAATCGGCAGGTCCCACCATCCTGAGAAGCCACTTGCAGCCAACATTTGTACAGACAGGGGCCTTCCAGCACTTTTATTTATATGCCTTGGCGAATAGCCTGAATGCCAGGAAGAAAATATAAAACACTGAGGAACTCTCACTGATTTAAACACATGGTTGGAAGAGCTGCATCTGGAGGAAACGCGATGTTTGGCAGAGGACAGTGTGACTGGAAAAGCATTTAGCACTAGAAGTCACGGCAGGTGAGAAAAAACTGCTGCACATTTGGGCTCAGCATGGGTTTGCTCAGCTCCTGGTAGACTGATTACTTTCAACTGTCAGGAAAAATACTTTAAATATAGAGGCACAGTAACTCCAGGACCAAGACCACAGCCAACCTTTAAAAGAGCCAGGAGTAGAAGCATGCTTACTGCAATGGCTGGTCTATGTGGGGCAGAATCAGATTGTGCTACAGCACTTCTAGGAGTTGATAAATTTCTGTGGCTGCCTTCCAGAGCACAAATAACGTCCACTTTTATTATTTTTTACACTTTGCTGTTGTGTCCAAATTGACCTGATTCCTAACTTATTGCTTGAGTCTATGGTAGTTTGAAGCAAATTGAATAAATCACTAGTGCTAAGTAAGAGTAGTCACTGCAATGCAAACTTACTTGGAAATGAGGGAGTCGAGCTGGCATTCCTGCTTATGTGCTTCATCCAGAAACTGACTGTTCAGAAAACGTGCTCGCTGGAGCCAGTACTAGAAACTAGGCTTCATATCTCACAGGAAGTGACAGCTCCGCAGCCATTAGGTCTATTGCTTTCTGTAAGTGAAAATGTAATCATTTTAGAACAAAGAAGCAAGTGGGTGAGAAGGGTCCCAGTCTGAGAGCTGGATCCTTGGGAGCTACTTAGAATAGAATTATAGAATCATTAAGGTTGGAAACACCTCTAAGATCATCTAATCCAACCATCAACCCATCCTCACCATGCCAATTTAGCTGCATCCCCGAGTGCTGCATCTTCATGTTTCTTGAACACCCGCAGGGACAGTGACTACATCACCTCCCTTGGCAGCTGTGCCACTGCCTCACCACTCTGCCTGAGAAGACATTTTTTCTACCATCCAACCTGAACATCCCCTGGCACAGCTTGAGGCCATTCCCTCTTGTCCTTTTGCTGGGAGAAGAGGCTGAACTCCACCTCACTACAACCTCCTTTCAGGGAGTTACAGAGAGTGATCAGGTCTCCCCTGAGCCTCCTCTTCTCCAGACTGAACAATCTCAGTTCCCTCAGGTGCTCCCTGTAACACTCACCCTCCAGACCATTCACAGCTTTGTTGCCCTTCTTTTGGATATTTCTGGGAGCTAGGAGATACAGTTGTATGGGAGGGAGAAACTCACATGGAAAATAAAGCAAGAGTAAAGGGGGCTGGACTTCAACACTCACCGTTAAACTGAAGGACATCAGATCATCTGTGGTTTTGTGCAGTCTTTATTGGCAGTATAATCTACAGTGAAAGACGCTGTTTGATCACACTTCTCAGCTTGTGTCACACCATGTACAGCTAATAAATACCAAACATAAAACCAATAAGCATCCCCCAGGATATGTTAACTTGACTGCTGTGCTGTATTCTGAGGGAGATTTTGTCAGTATACCTTTAGGAATGACCAGAAACAAGCACAGACAACTTGCATGTTTTGGATGGGATGAAGGGAAAGAAGGGGAGGATCAGTAAGAGACTATAGCATGAGGTCCTTGAAGAAAACAGCTGCAGAGAGAACAATAAAACAGACAAGAGAGCACCATCAGAAAGGCAAAAAAATCCACTTTATTAGAAGGATACTACATGTATCACAAAGCAGGTCAAGAGATTCAGCAGACAAGCTGCAGTGAGAACTCGCCCTTGTCTGAAAGAGTATCTCAGCAGAGGTTTCAGTTGGGTCTGCTCAGAGAACTTCTAAACAAGGGAGATCATGACCTGCATTGCTACATGCTCCAGCTCCAGTTACTGGAGTTACAGCTAACAGCCTCCAGCCTAAGCTGTGTCTGGCAAATAGACATTATTCTTGCAGTTGGCAACTTCTAAAAATGTGTCATCAGGAGCTGGCAGCAAAAGGAGGAATGCGATTGCATTTTCTAAGCAAACTTCCTCCTCTACCTGAGACCATAAAGCTATACAGCTTCAAGCGAATCCCTACTGTCAGCTGCCCAGCCCTTTCCACTTTATTGGCTGCTTTGTGCAGTCAAAGCCAAACCGCCCAAGGGAAAGGGGTCAATCATTTGTGCTGCATCTGTTCCAGGCTGTGGCAGGGCACAGGGTAGATATTTAGGGCTGGAACTAGTTAAATGCAAATTCAGAGCGTGGAAAGCAGGACTAGGGGAGGAGAAACTATGCTGGAATAAAAGCACTGGGAATGTGCAGAGGAAGCTGCTTGACTAGTTAGACCCAGGAGCAAGTGTATCTCTGCTCCTCGGGCTTTTCCTGGAGGGAAGAGAAGATATTGCACACGCACGTGTGTGGGAAGGTGAAGTTTAGGAAGGAAAACAAGATAAATAAAGCTATCAGTTGTCTGGGAAGGCAGGGAAGGGCTGCTTCTTCACCATGCTGAGTTTGGGTCAGAAGGGAAGAGGAAGCAGAGAAGCGTTTATGGAAGCATCATTCCATCTCTGATAGCAGGACCTGGACAAGAGAGATCTCGTTCTAAAAGGTTCAGAGAACGTCACCACTCTATCAAACAACACCAAATGCCATCAGCTGTAATCCAAAGTTTGAGGATGTAAGAGACCCTCAGTTCAACCGTCAGAAAAGGCCACAGTGCAAATACTTGATCCTACTCTTGTGCATATTTTTTCTAAAAGCCACATTATCCCAATGGTTTACCCTTCTATATGTTACGCAAGGATTAGAGCATTCAAATTTCAAGTCCTAGGAATTCTCAATTCCTCTGTAACATCCTTATGCCAATTTCAGTAGGGATGCCCAAAATCCCTCCTGATTAAGGATCATTAGTAAATACTGATTGAACATAAGCCATGGTCCATCCAGAGAGACCTACACAGGCTCAATCAGTGGGCCCAGCTGAACCCCAAGAGGTTCAACAAATCCAAGTGCAAGGTCTTGCACCTGGAGTATTGCATCCAGATGTGGAGTCCTCAGTACAAGAGAGACACAGACCTGTTGGAGTACGTCCAGAGGAAGGTCACAAAAATGATTCAAGGGATGGGACACCACTCCTATGAGGACAAGCTGAGAGAGCTGGGTCTGTTCAGCCCGGAGAAGAGAAGGCTCTAGGGAAACCTGAGAGCAGCCTTTCAGTACCTAAAGGAGGCTATAAGAAAGAAGAGGATGGAGTCTTTAGCAGGCTCTTTGATGATAGAACAAGGGGAAATGCTTTCAACAGATGAGATTTAGACTGGAAGAAGTGTTTTACAATAACAGTAGTAAAGCACTAGAATAGGTTGCCCAGAGAGGTGGTGAATGCCCCATGGTTACAGACATTGGGCTAAATGGAGCTCTTAGCAACCTGGCCTAGTTGTAGATGCCCCTGTTCATTACAGTGAAATTGGATGAGGTGACCATTAAAGGTCCCTTTCAACTCATTCCAGGATAAGTACATTAGCTCAAATTTTAGATGGGACTGGGGGCAGAGAGTTGAAGAAAGCAGCAAATTTGGTCAGAAAACTGACTTACCCAAAGCTGGTATTTCAGCTGCAGTGCTCAAAAGCTCTGTTCTATTCACCACACTGGTAATGCATGCTGGCAGGACTTGCAGAAAGTTCTGAGTGTTTTTCTCCACTTCCTTTAGCAAGCTATTCATCAAACATTTCAAAGTGAATGCCAGGTAGACCAGAAAGAGTATTTGACACAAACAGAACAAGGCCTGGGTAAGTGCACACATGACTGCAGCTATTGAAGAACGAACAAACAAAAGGTACCCACCACAAATATATCCATGGGCCAGGACATTTGACAAGTGGTGAAGTGCCTTGATACAAGTTCAGAATTGGAGGAAAAGCTGAGTGAGTGAAATACAAGGAGGCAGATTAACTATTACAGGAAAATAAAGGTGACTGCAGAGCAGAAACCAGCACGGTGAAAAGTACACCTAGAGCTGCATGCTCAGGCTGGCAGGGCAGGTCTTCATGAAGGACAATTCAGGCATGCAGAAGAAATGAGCCCATTGCCTTTTTGTCACACAAGAGAGCACTGTGCTGGCCCTGACTTGGCTCCTCAGCATAACTGGAGGCAGAATACTTACTTTCTCTAACAGCTTCTACTTTTACTTGAGCTCAGAGTTGAGAACAACAAGATTATAGTTAGGGAAGAGGGACTAACTATCAGCTGTGCTACGATCTGTGCAGAAGGAGAACCTACTATCTGGTACACCCACCAAGCAAAACTGAGGTAAAGGAGTCCTACCAAACCAAAATGCTACTAAAAGCATTATGAGGTAACAAATTCTCACAGGAGATCATGCAAGAAGTTGGGCTTGGTCAAGAAGCATTGCCCTAAGCTGAACAACTTCCTTTATCAGTAGTTTTGTGCAAGCAAGAACACCTATACACTTCTTATGCTTGTTCCTCTGCTTATGTTAGGTAAACCCACAGGATAGCTCCATCACGACATAACAAAGATGTCATTTTGCACTGTCACAGCTAAAAGATAACTTAAGGATCGTGAGTCAGGCTATGCTGATACTGCAGGATGCTGACTCTAGGAGCTACTTAAGAACACGCTTAAATAACAAAAATAAACATTAGAACAGCCCAGCACTGGAATCTGGTCTATGGCTCAATCCATAGCTGAACCAAAATAAAGCTGAACTAGATTTTAAATGGTTTCTAAACTTACAAACTTCCAAGAAAACCCATCTGCATGGATCAGTCAGCCTTCCCTGTGACAAGCCCTCATGCCATTCCTCATTGTAGCTTTGCCAAGTCTCTGCACGGATTATACAGAGTGCATAGAAATGAACAAAATTGCCCACTTACAGCTGTAGAACAGATTGCAGGATTGCCATATCCTAGCTACCTCTTAACAAACTAAAATCAAACGGAAGGCTGAGATTTTTTTTCTGGTGCACATTACATCCTCCATACCCAAAATGAGGCAAATCTTATCAGTGAAATCTTTGTCTTCTTTATTAGAAAAAAAAAAAAAAGTAATGGCAAGAATAAGTCATGTGTGAACCACTTTTTCAAGTTTGATATTGCATTCTATGCTGTTAGCAAGTTTGATAAATAAGTTGAGATTTCCCCCTCCTCCCTGGAGCAAGGATTGTTCATTGAAAATGCTCTTGAGTAACAGAGCAGAATTAGAGACTTATTCATCAAGACAGATAATTCGGCCACAAATGTTCATCCTGTCTCTTGTCCTACGTAGCGACAAGATGCAAGATGACAATGCTGGAAAAGGCAGAGCTCAGTTTTTCACACAAGTGTGATACTAGGAAATAACCCATCAATTCAGCAGAAGTTTACTGTGGTTAACGCCTCACTTAAACATGAACCTGGTGCTTCGAAGGACTGAGTGTTTTGCCTGATAGCTGCTTGGTAGCTGGTAGGCAAAGCTTACTTCTGCCACCACAATTTACACTGGCTCTCATTGCTAAGGACACACATCAAAACGTCCCTCCTTTCAAAAGAGTGCACTTTAATTCCACCCCTCCCACTTGATGACATTCAGAGATGTCATCCCCTCGCAACTGTGAAAATTTATGGACAGCAAAAGCGTCACAACAAGGCAAAGGCCATTTACATTAGCCAAAAAACCAAAACAGCCATGTGAACCACAATCCTTCTCCTACGTAATTTGCATCCTCTTCCTGGTCTCACCCTGTTTTTCCTTATCTTGATTCAACAAAAAAACACAATACATCTGCTGGGTAGTCAAACAGACTCCAGTTAGAGCAAGAAATGGCCAGTTCCCATACAATGGGCAGGAGAGCAAAGCTGCATTTAATGGCACTCCGACTTAACACAGTGTGGCTAGGTACATCAGCGTGATCTGCCCTGCCCAAGGGTGATGTGAAAGTAAATAATCCCAACAGCTGCTCACACAAGCACTCCATAGATTACAACTGACCAAATTCTTCAGGCCACTGGCTCCCTGCATATGTAGTTGAAACAAATCTGAGAGGGAACTACCAATTCAAAAGGCTATGGAAAGAAATGAGCAGAGCATGCAACTAGATACCTCTGAAAACCAGGGTTTTCAATTGATTCCATGGTAAAACAGCAGCAAAAGTAAAAACAGAACTAAAATCCTATGCATCTCAAGTACCAGAAGGAAAGAGTAAAGTTCACAAGAATTGGGAATATCGAGAACAAAATATAGCCTGCCTGGAAGCTTTAGACTGATGAGTACACAATACAGCATGCAGTGTATTTGTATACTGTTGCATGCTTCCTGGATTCTTATTAGTCGTTCTGGAAAGGCTGCTGATGACAGCATTTGAAGTTCAAAAGTCTTGCATTTGTTTAATGCTTCAGGGACTTCTAAATTGTGTGTGGTCTATATGTTTCTGTTTTTACAGTAAGGAATACAAGAGCAAAGAATGCTTTTGCAGTGGCCTGTGCCCTCAAGAGTGACCAGGGAATCTGGTTGGATCGTTGTTCTTAGTTCCACTTTGAGGAAGAGTAAAATGTAACATAACAGAAGACCTGGTATGTTATCTATCATGCAAGACCATTTGTTTTCTTTAGCATATATACTTTAAAGCACTGACATACATGAAGTGCTCTGGCATCTGCTCAAGCTGTTAGATATTTAAGGAGAATGTTTAAATTCACAAGGAATATACAAAGATATGAAAGCTCTGTTAACCGGCTCTTTAAAACAGAGCACTGCTCCCATTTATTCGGATTCAGAGAATAAGTATCACTGGATACAGGAGGGAAAGGTAGTTAGGCTATTTATCACCTCTCTTTCAGGTAATGAAAACGAACATTCAGATTCTGCTATTCCTTGCCAAAGTGTTTAGGCAGAACCCCCAAAGATAAAGTCTACTGTTCTGTGTGTTTGCACAGCACTTTGAAGAAAGAGGTGTAAATGCCAATTAGTGTTTTTGTCTATTCTACCAACACAAGTGTTAGTAGCAACAACAACAGGCTATAATATGCTAAAGCCCCAAAGTGTTTCCAGTCTTTCAACATCAATCAGCGCCAACTGAAGCCGGTAGTAAATTGATTCTCACATTCCACTGCTGCCCGTTTTTGTTAGAAATGATTTGTGATAGATATGGTGGAATATATTGATTAGTACTGACAGTCCCAGTTTCCCAGGCGCTTTGCAGCACTGCCATTCCAAACTGACCTGCTTTCCACCTTGTCAATTTTCTTCTGCGGCATCCGTTATAAATGCCCGTTCTATTATGAGATAGCTTCAGTGCCCTCCAGAAAACAAAAGGGTCAGGCAAATAAAATCAGTACAATAAAATAGGTTTACAGTGTTCCAAAAGAGTTTGTTTTTATTGAGAGATTTTTTGTGTCGGGGGAGAAAAGGCACAAAATAAGTTACAAAGACGTTATATGAAGGTACACGTGTCAGAGGCAGTATCAGAGCTGTTACTAGTCACCTGAAAGTGAGCTTTCCTCTACAAAATAATCTTAAAATATTATATTTATTTCAAATGATCAAAACCGTTCAGAAATTAACTGAGAATAAAGACCACCAATATTAACTTTTGATTAAATTCACCTGGGCTTAGCAACATCTCTTCCTCTGTCTTGAAATAAATACCTAATGTTACAGAATTATTATTATTTTTTAAAAATTCATGTTATATATTATAAATTAAAAACCTGATATTTACCCTTAGTACCACCAGTGAAGCACAGTACATATGGGTAAGGCAGTATGCATAGGAAATACATTAAGAAAACAAAACAGGTAAGTGCAATTACTCTGAATATTTCTACACTTGTTGCTATGGTCCCTTGCTTACGGGAAAGAACATCTTAAAAAGAGATGGACCCAACAACTGTTCACAGAACGCATGGACATAACCCCATAAAAGGTCTATTATGGAAAAGCTCATGATGCCTTAACTGTGGCTTCTCAGATCAAGTATTCTAAACAGAGACTTCTCATCAGTACAACTTTGATTTAACAACAGCGCACGGATACAACTAAAGAAGTACTCTGACATTTATCAGTCTGTGTTTTAATGCTGGAAGGCTCCTAACAGTCAGTATTCAAGTCCCCCCCCCCAAAATATTTAAAAATATGCACACCACCTATATACAATTTGATTCACTGCTGCAAACAAAAATCGATTCCCTGTACTGCCTCTTTTCTGTTACTCACCTCTGGGCTAACCAGGACTTTACGTCTACAAGATACAGAGACTGTAGAAAGATTTGATTTCATGATGATGAAGGCTTAAGCAGAGAGAAGGAAGCTTACCCCTTTGGCTGTTCTTCTGGTCAAGTGGAAATCTAAGATCTGTCTTCTGAAATCAGTAAGAATACAAACATGTAACCAGACACAGAACTTGGCTATAAATGTCTGCTTATATCCTAAGGAGTTTCATTTATTTGACCTAAGACAATAGAAACACAAAAGGAATATGGTGCCAAGTTTTGCTCATAGTAACTGTCAGCCCTTTAAGGACTCGATCTCAAAGAAAGCATTGTGGAGTCATGTATTAGGCACACCTGTCAAGAGTTTTGGTAATGGAGGTCATCTAGGGTCCCATACAGCTGGTTGCCCTGGACCTTGTCTTGATGGCTTTTGAACACTGCCAACAACTCCATAACCTCTCTGTCAATCTGTGGCAGTGATAGGTTATCCTAGCAGTAAAAAAAATTCAAAAAAAAAAATTAAAGAAAAAGAAAAAATGTTTCTATATGCTTAGGCAGATGCACATGTCTTTCAGTTTGGGCCCATTGCCATTTCAGACACTAGGCACTGACCCATTTCATCCCAATGCTCCAAACAATCAGAGGAGGTTGTGGCACATCTAAAATATTTAAAAGCATATTTAAGAGAAAAAGACAATATTTATAGAAGGAGGAGGAAAAAAAAAAAAAATAAGAGAAGACTATGCCAGCACAGGATAGGAGAGGGGTGACAGCAGGGTAGAAGAAACACCAAAAAAGAACTGTAGCCCAAGCAGGGGCTGAGAGGATGAGACGTAGAAGGAGACGCAGCTTTAAAGGGCACTGAATCCAGTGAAGAAACCCACAGTAGAGCAGCAGAGAAAGAAATAAGGAGCAAGTATGACAGCAAGTGCTGATCCCAATCTCCCGAGCTACTTGTTGCCTTGCTGAAGGAACTAAGAGTAATATCCAACCAAGGGACAGGAGACCACCAAGATGGCAAAGGAAGAGCATCCAGAGAGAAGCAGCGTCTCTCCCCATTTGTTTTTCTCTGCCTCAATACCAACAGCAATAAATAGAAGCTCTTTAATTGGCAATAAGTTAAATTTCCCAACTCAAAACTTCCTTCCCCTCAAGTTATCCCCTCAATGGAGATTAGCACAAAAATAAAAGTTTCTTGCCCTTAATTTTTTGCCCTTAACAACAGTGCAAACAAGAGAACCCAGATTCTAAAAGGTGCAATAACTCTGGTCCTCCAAAAGCATAAGCATTTTAAGCTAATTTTGAAAAGCCTTTAAATAAAACTTTTAAAAGCACAAGTCTTCCTTCTGTTTAAATCATGGATTCCTACATAAATTAAAAAAAAAGGAAATATTTTATATTATCTAAAATTCTGTTAAATACAGAAGTGACAAAAAAGCTCAACTTAAGGAGGTAGTAGCTTAAAAAATGGAAGTAAAATTAGATTCAAGAAGGAAAGTAGTGCAACAAATATATCCATATGAAAAATATATTCCTGGTTGCTAAAAGACCTTCATAGTTTTAACAAGAACAGATGGAGAACTGGATTAAACTTTGGGGAGTGAGGTGAGTCTAGTACTGAAAAACTGTCATTTGGAGTCATATTTGACATCACAGAAGTGCAATAAACTCTTTTACTAAAAAACCACACAGCAGTTCTATATTAGAAAGCTTTTAACCAGTTTGAAACAATTATTTTTTTTCCCCTGCAAGCTGCTATCAGAAATGTCTGTTTCCCAGTCAAGTTTCCATCATTTTAAAATATTTTGTTTGAACATGGATGTACTGGATACTTCTCCTGGGATATCTTTCAGAAAAAGTTAACTGTTCCAGTATAGGCAAAGATGTTCTTATTGCCACATTTTCTTGCCTACCTGCTGCAGTGGGTGCAATACAAGCATCTCAGATGTGTTGGCGAGCATTAACTTGCATGTAGAAGATCATCATTCTCTAAAGGCTTTTGTAATTGAAGATGGGCAGGCAATTGTTTAAATGGACTCCTATGAGCTTCTGTTTAAATTGTTTAAATGTACTTCTATGAGCTTACTACATAAGAGAAGATCCTGACACATCACAGCCTTACTTCATTGTGCATATGCAGCAGAGAATGCAGATTACTTCCTCTAAACCACTCTTCTGATGGCATCCACCTCCTGCTGCACAAACATTTAGACACTTGCCCATTTGCTGGGAAATAAAACTGCCATGTTAGAGCTGACTAGCACTGAATTTTGTAGTTGTAGTAGGGAGTTGAACTACAGAAATTACTATTTAGTAATGCCTCAAACTGCACCTTTTATAAAAATCTGCTATATCCTACAATGCTTGAGGCAAACCATTACTGGCAGTGCTAATTTGTAAGGCTGATGGCTGAACTACAATTCCAGCGTGCAGTTTTTAAACCAGATTTTATCAGTCTTTGAGAGTAAGCTTTGGCATTTGCAACTCAGAAGCAAACAGGCTCTGCAGATTTCTCTAATTGACAAGAGGTGCATACTCAGCTCTTCTACAAATCCTACACTTTCTCCTTTCAGAAAACACAAAATATTTAAGTGAACTGAAAAAGGAAAGACAAGCAAAGGTAACTTTCCATCCCCTAACGCTCTGGAGATGCTTGTATGCACCAGTTTTGGCAGGCTGCATGGAGGAATTCCAAATGAATGCAGCTAGAACCAGTATTGGACCATTGCTTTCCAGCAAAAGCAGTCTTTGGCACATACATCATTCAGTTCTATGATGTTACTTTACACACAGTCCCATATCAAGTTGATTGAGGAAATTAAAAAGCCTTTCATAATACAGGCACTTACAATCAATTAGAGCAGAATAAAAATCTACTCTCCATTAGGCAACACAAGAGCTTTTTTTCCAGGATGACAGGAGCTAGTAGTACCAAAATAAGATGAGAAAGTTCAGTAAATTCAGACCGTCAGGGTGAAAATTCTGCACACCTCTATTAGACTGAAATAACTGTAGCACCTGGATAATCTGGTTAAGATTAACATAGACTGGACAAGGCATTAAAAAGACATGGCATGGAAAATTCTGTATAAAGTTGTTCACACTCCAATTCTATGCTCAGATGTCACAAGTTTTCTTACACAGGTCTTTCATTCACTTAATACATCTTGCAACAAAATAGGAGCTGTGAGACTCAAAATAACTGTCCTGTTTGGTAAACAGCTGCATATAGACATTCCTGACACAGGCGTTGAGTATATCAGGCCAGACTGACTTCTACCATCAAATAACAGTACTGCTCTCATGAGCTCTTCAGACATATTTACCACCATGCTCACAAATTGCACAGATGCCTAGATACGCTATATGTCAGAGAGCATGATTAGAGGCAGCTCTAAGAGTGGGAAAGATAATCAGTACTCCATCCTTCAGCTGAAACAAAGTATTCCTATATTCCTAAAATGAAGTACAGTAACTTATCAAACAAAAAATACACTTTCTTCACTCTCGTTTTTGAATTTTCTACATCTATACTTACAATACAAAAGTGCATGAATGGAGAAGTAAGTTTGATAACAAGTTGAAGACTGATTAAAATCAAAGAACCACAAATATTCAACTCAGGTTCTGCAAACCTGAACTGCCACATCTTACTCTTCCTACTGAGAACTGCGTGGCTATGACGTCCTGTGTTGCCAGTAGCAGATGACACACAAACTATGGACAAAGAATGGCTAACAGTTCCTGTCTGCCTCTCAGGGAAACTTACTCTACATACCATATAAGAGAGGAAAATAAGCAGCTAAAAAATGTGCTGGATCTTGGCAGCATGGTAATAATGCCAGGCTTACCACTGTTTGCTTTCAAGTAAGCAGGCTTTATATCTTCAAAAGTCATCAACAACGAAACCAAACCTGATGCTTTTCCAACTATCCATAATTCAAAATGTGAATACAGAACTAAAAATATCTTTGAATAAATATACTCAACATTCCATGCTTTTCCAAGTACCTTATTTAGAGAAATTTTCAACCAGCATAAGGGCCAAATATAGGCAGAAAAAGTATCCAGCCAAGATGAAAACGCCCTTGCTACAACAATGATGCAGCAGTCTGGAAGAAAAACTGAAGACACTTTTTCCACAGGGATTGAAGTTCCCTACTGTACTCACAGCCAATGTGTGAATCAAATTCAGATCAAGTGGGAGTACTACATGCTGCACTCTGTAGCCTCTGGGCTGCCTGCTGCACCAAGCAGGGTAGTTAGATTTTCCTCAGTGTTACAGTTCCAATGAACAAAGATCAAGCAGCTAGCTGTAAACTTCAGATACTGTTCAGTTTCACTTCCTTTCAGAGTAAATGAACTTCCCAGTTTAACTGGAATAAGTTCAGCTGACAACTCTTTTTTTTTTTTTTTTTAATTCCATTTTCTAAATCTACTATTCACATAAAAAAAATGTCTCACAAGGTCAACAGCTCTTTTCACTTTGTTAGTGACCTCAAATATAAAAACTAGCAAACAACTCATGGAAATCAATCTTAATAAATAGCAAGCAAGTAGTTAGAGGATAAAAGTTGAATCTTCCTAAGGCCTTATTTTTTAGTCACAACATTGCACTTGCTCATACTTAAAGATTTTTGTATCCTTCTAACTAAACAAAGTGTAGTGTAAACTAAAGAATGAAGTTGTCTTCCTCAACAAGGTCAAGTAATCCAGTAAACACTGGCTTAAAGAGTTTAAGAGCAAAAGAATTTTAAACAGATATTAGCAGCTTTCTGCAGTAATCCTACAAAATGTAACAGCAGCCCATGGCTCCTCTTGTCACTTAATGCTTACATTTCTTCCACAAATGAAGATGCAGATAGGTCCATAGAAATGAGCTAAATACCCTAAAAACACACTTCACCTTACACAGTATGCGATAAAGACCTCACCTGTGTACTACTTATGAAATTACATCCTTAAACAGTTACTTCACTGCACAGGCAGAGAAGTTGCTAAGCTTTAATATTTATAGAAAAGCAAAGACAAAGTAGAAGTAGGCAAAGCTACAAACAGCAGTTCTGAGATGTGGGAAATGTGGCAAATCTATGCATAAGGCAGCCCAAGAGAATGTTTGGTGGATAGAGGAGAGAGAAATCAGCAACATCCTCTATATCTACAGATGTTATGGACTCTTCCCAGCCTTTCATCATCACAAAGTTCATGGATAGGCCATGAACTGATCAGCTGTACCTTGTAATTCTACACAGGTGTCCACATGCCTGAAGGAGAAACCTTATGTTCATAGTTGCCTCTCCCCCACTCAATATGTAAAAGCCATTTTAACATACAATTTCATAAGTTCGTTCCTCCTGGGGTAGCACACAAAATATTGTGCAATCACTTTCATTCCACAAAAAACAAAAAAGTGAACATTTTCAAGTTCATCAGTTTAGGATGACTCAAAACCAACCCTCTGAATACACAAAAGCACCGATGATCTGCACAAATAGTTGATAATTTTCTCTTTCAGAAATGCATTATCCTTCCCTTGCTATCATTCAAATGTAGTCTGTGCATTCTCTCTCATTCCTACCCACAAGTATTTGAATGGCTGTCTCACATGAAAAGAAACAGTGGTGTAATTAATCTTAACAGTATTTAAACTCCCTTCCTACTCAGGAAAGACACAGGCACTTGCCCAACTACATTCCCTGATAGGTGGTTTCCAGTACTCTCATCTCAGAGCTGGACTGACTGGACAAGGAAGAAAAAAAAAAAAGAGAACAAGTTTGTGTTTCTTCTTTTCATTGCTTGATCATATGGGTCTCTTCATTAGCATCATAGAATTCCTCATCTTCACTTCCACTTCCTGCAGAATTGTCCTTGTCTCCAGACTAGAAAGAAAAATGAAGCAATTGGTTAACAAAGAAGCCATCAAAAAAATCTGAAAATAAATGAACACAAAGCACTATACCTCTATTAGAAGGTTGGTAGAGAATTGGTAGAGAAAAGACAAGTCAAAACACTGTTAACGCTTTGTGAATCTAGATTTGTTTGTACTTTTAATTCTTCAAAATCTCTTGGAAAGAGTTGGCTTATACTGGATGGACTTTCCTGGCTCTATGAGTATACCACAGAAAATCCATGCATGAGAGAAAATGGCTAGGATGGTTCTGAAGTGGTACTCTACTTAGCTTTCTTTATTTGAGCCCAAGGACTCTACTCTCCTGCAAGCAATTGGAGACAGAGCTTCAGAACACAAAGATCATTTGATCAGGTAAAGGTTTCTGCATTCTGAATTATTACTTCTTCATTTGTAGCATGGGCATTTTTCTATGCAAGTTAAATTTAAAAAGATCCCTCTCTGATACTAAACAAAGGTGTTATGGAAAAGGAAAAACATTACGGGTTTGTATGGGCAGAAAATAAACTCTGACAGGCATATTTACACCAGCTGGAGTCCTTTCAATAGCATAATTCATATCACATGCCCAAACTAAAATCAACTATTATAATTAACTGATTTTTATTTTGCCGGTGTGGCATTTTTCCACTGAACCAGTATGGATTATCCAAGTAATGATTAGTCTACTGCTAACAGACTCCATTTAATTTAAATGAATATTTAGGATTTTTTCCACTACGCTTACATCTATTCTAAGACTTCTGGCTGACTAATCATATGCAAAGAAGGGTGAGAAAGAAGGTGAAAAACAGAAATGGAAATCATACTCCTGCCTGACAGAACCACACAAGCAAAATCTGTAGCTTTAGATTTGTCTTCAGTGGAGTTTTGCTATGGCAATGTGTGTAACTGCAAAAGAATTTCAAACAGTTTGAGGACTAGAAACTGTCAGAAGATATAAAGGGAATCACATTATGCTTCTTTTTTGTTTCTAAAAAGATTTGAGGAGAATCAGACTATCGCTGGATGCCACCCAACTTGAATATCACATTTGTGTACGTTAACAGGGACAAAACCTCTGCTCTGGGCATCTAGAATGCATGTTATCCTTAAAGTGGTACAAAAGGACAGCAGATTCCACAGGGGAAATTCAGGATATGCCAAATAAACTCTACCATTTCCTAATAACAGCTTCACAGACCTCACTGTGGCCTTGTCAAATAGGGTTAATGTTTTACAGCTTCCCATTTTAACAGCACTTTCTTCGTATAAAACTATATAGATAGATAGATAATTTCTATGTTTATATTTATTTTATATTTATTTTATATTATATATATATATATATATATAAATGACAATAAATAATCTTGTTCAAGATTTTTAGAAGGCCTGAAGAAATGCAAGGACAGAAAACTTAATCTTTAGAAGACTGTTTGGAAAGTGAATCCAGTTGCATGCATATTTATAGATGTACATCACCCCCAAATGGTGATACTGACCTTATTAGGCTAGCAGGAAAAAAAAATGATGTTTTTCCCCCCCTCTGAATTAAAACAACTGTACTGCTTGCTAGAATCACTTTCTGTTAGTCAGCCATCTAGATTAAGATGCAATAATAATGTAATTACCAAAATAACAGCTGGTACAAACTTGACATCAATATACGGTTGGACTCGATGATTTCTGGAGGTCCCTTCCAACCCCTATGATTCTGTGCAATTCTGAGATTCATATGATAGACTTGTTTTGCTAGCAAGAATTTTCCTTAACATCTACCACTTCTCAGAAATGTCAATGGCCAGCTGTATATGAAGCATATCATAGCAATCTGTCTTAAGAGTCAAGTCCTTCATCCAGCCCCCAAAAAAGTCCATGCATTCGGCCCCAAAGGGATAAATTAACCCAGTTATGTTTCAGCCTGCATTTCCATGGAACAATTCAGATGGGATAGTAAGGTTACTGAACTATCTTAAGCATCTCCTTAGGACCTATTCTCCACAGGCCAAAAATTACTATCCTAGAGAATTCAGAGTGGGACATGCAGGCTGAAAGTTGAAATGCTAGGGAAAAGAATTATTAATAATAAAATACCTGCGAGCCATCTAGGGTTTGCAGTGACATGGCTTCATCCCCCAGTCTCCAGTATGAGCATATCTGTAGGTCTGAAATAGTTTCTAGCAGAGGGCTGTTCAAGGTTTCAGGCAACAATAAACTTAAGAGCCCAGACAATAAACCAGTTGCTCCAAATACAATGTAAGGCAGAGACCACTGCACAGATTTCTAGAATCAAAAGCAGAGAGAGTTATCAGTAGAAAGTAGATTGGTTCCACTTAGTGCATGCTGCATACTCAGTTAACCTTTACAATCATTCCAAGTGACAATTCTCAGGAATATAATGAACTCATACCCTTGAAAGTTTTATGCTCATATTCAATTTACAAAATCTGAAGGTTAGCCCTCAATGTGCTTACTACAAAAAAAAAAAAAAAAAAAAAAAAAAAAAGAAAAGAAAGAAAGGCTAATAGTATCCTGGATTGTGAAAGGTGAACCTCACCCTCTACTCAGCACTGGTGAGGCCATATCTGGAGTCTGTATCCAAGTCTGTATCCAAGTCTGGGCTGTCCAGTACAAGAGAGAATCCAACAAAGAGACATAAAGGTGATAATGGGACTGGAGCATCTCACAAGAGAAGGCTGAAACAGCTGGATCTATTTAGGTTATACAAGGTACAGTAGGATTTTATCAACACACGAGGGCTATTCCAAAAGTAATATCTCCTATTTTATTACACTGGCCCATAACATCAGAATCACAGAATGGCCAGGGTTGGAACGGACCTTAAGGATCATGAACCTCCAACCTCCCTGCCATAGGCAGGGCCACCAACCTCCCCATTTAATACCAGACCAGGCTGCCCAGTGCCCCATCCAACCTGGCCTTGAACACCTCCAAGGACGGGGCATCCACAACCTCTCTGGGCAGCCTGTTCCAGCACCTCACCACTCTCTCTGTAAAGAACTTCTGCCTAAATCTTCCCTCCCTCAACTGAAAACCATTTCCCCTTGTCCTGCTGTTATCTACCCTTTCAAAGAGTTGATTCCCCTCCTGTTTGTAGGCTCCCTTTAGGTACTGAAAGGCTGCAGTGGGGTCACCCCGCAGCTTCTTTTCTCCAGGCTGCACAAGCCCAGCTCCCTCAGCCTGTCTTTGCAGGGGAGGTGCTCCAGTCCCCTGATCATCTTTGTGGCTCTCCTCTGGACCCTCTCCAACACCTGTCTTTCTTGTACTGGGGGCTCCAGACCTGGACACAGTACTCCAGATGGGGCCTCACAAGAGCAGAGGAGCAGATGTTGACTGTATAGCAATAGAAGTTGAACCTTCCTGCCACTATTCTGTTACATTTCTCTGCTGTTGGCAACAGATGGACAGTCTGACCAAGTGGCATCTGACATGAAAGTGCAGATGAAGCAAAGGGGTGTCATTGAATTCTTCCATGCTGGAAAAAAAGGCACCCACTGACATTCATCAACAGTTGATGAACATTTATGGAGATCAAACAGAAAGAAGTGAGCACAGTGAGGCAGTGGGTGTTGCATTTCAGCAGTGGCAACAGCAACATGAAAGACAAACCACGTTCCGGATGGTCATACACAGCTGTCGCAACACAAAAATGAAGAGAATCTCAATTGGCTCATCTGCATGAGCTGGCAGATTACAACCAGAGATCAGCATACAGAGCTGAATACCAGTGTGCTGGAAACAACAGCGGCAACACTGGAATATTGCAAAGTTTGTGCCTGGTTGATCCCACAAATGCTCACACAAGAACAGAATGAACACCAGATGCAAGTTTGTCAGGACCTACTGAACAAATATGAGGTTGAAAGCGATTGATTCCTGGATTGCATCTTCACTGTTGACAAGATGTGGTGTCATCACTATGAGCCAGAATCAAAACGGGAATCAGTGGTGTGGCGATGTGCAAATTTCCCCATTGAAGACGTAGTTCAAGCCCTTAGTGGGTAAAGTGATGCACACTGTCTTTCAGAATAATAAAAAAGATGATTCTCCAGGATCTCCTGGAACCTGGACAAAACATCAGCTCTGATCGGTACGTTGCAATGCTGACTAAATTGAAGGCTCAGATTTCCAGAGTCATGGCAGAGAAGACAGCCTTTCTCTTGCAACACAAAAACACCAGGCCCCATAACAGTTTGATGGCCATGGAACACATTGCCAATCCTGGCTGCACTGTCCTATCACACCCACCATATAGTCCAGATTTGGCACCTTCTGACTCCATCTATTTGGGCCAATGAAAGATGGACAACATTTTCCTAGCACTGACCCAGCAGCTGTGAAATAGTAGGCCACTTCTGCCGGTGCAGATTTTTCACAAACACGGTGTTCAGGCTCTTATTCATCGCTGGCAAAAATGCACAGCTAATGGTGGTGACTATGTTAAAAATCGTGTTTTGTAGCTGAGAATGTACTCTATTTAATAGTGTGATTGTGCTCTTTGTATCTGTTATTGTTTTCATGGAAATAAATCGGAGGCATTACTTTCAGAGTGGCATATAAATACATGAAGGGAAGGTGCAAAAGGGATGGAACCAGGCTGTGTCCAGTTGTGCCAACTGACACAGCAAGACAAATGGGTAAAAATCAGAAACACAGGAGGTACCCTCTGAGCACTGGGAAATACTTTTACTATGAGCACAACCAAGCACGAGCACAGGTTGACCAGAGAGGGGATGAAATCTCCAACCTCAGAGATAATCCAAAGCTGTCCAGACACAATCCTAGACAAGTGGCTCTTGTTGACCCTGCTTGAGCCAAGGGCTAGGAGGTGGAACAGATGGACCAGACAGCCTCCAAAGATCCCTTCAACCTCAACCATTCTGTGCTTTACCTTTACTGTAAAAATTACCAAATTCATTCTCTCTTAGCAGTATTGTCAATTGTATCTGTTGTGACTTAAACCCAGCAGGGAGCTAAGCACCACACCTGCTTGTTCACTCTCTTCAGGTGGGATGGGAAGACAATCAGAATAGTAAAATCATGAGAACACATGTTCAGCCATGTCCAGGAAAGCAGAGGTTAACACACACGCAGTAGTTTCTGGGGAAGACACATGCCATCAGTCCAAAAGACCCTTCATCTTCCTTCTCCTTTACTCCAGCTTCTATTGCTGGGTATCACGTCATACAGTATGGGATATCCCTTTGGGCCATTTGGGCCAGCTGTTCTGACTCTGTCCCCTCCCAGTTCTTTGTGCACTCCCATTGCTGGCAGGGCAGCATGAAAAGCTGAAAGTCCTTGACTATGCAAGCAGTGCTTGGTAACAAGTAAAAGATCAGTGTTAACATCACCATTTTCATCTAGAATCCAAAATACAGAATCAACAGAAGCCTGTATGAATAAAATCCGGACAAAACCATGACAGCTTCTATCAGTACTATCAAAGCCATATAGATTTTGAACTGGACTTTAAAAGAAATGCCAGCTGAACTTGTACTCAATTCTTGCCCATAATACATTCCTTTAGATGAAATGTTACATCGTTTTGTAGTAGAGAGATATATCACACAAAGACACGCTGACTGGAAGAAATCTCTAGGTGTCATCTAGCCCAACCACCAACTCAAAGCAGGGTCTAGTGTTGGCTGAAACATGTCAACCATAGCATTGTGTAGCCATTGAAAACTCCAAGGATGGAGATTTCTCCCATCTGAGAGAACCACTCCAGGGCTGTATTAAGCATCTCAGAGAGGAAAAGAAAGTTTTCTATGCATCTTATTTGTAACCCTCAAATTGCAACCTGTGGCCACTAACCCTTATAACACAACTCTTTCAGCTTTCACCTGAAACTATATGTTCTAGGTCCCTCATCATATGTTGCCATGTTCTGGACCCTCTCCAGATTTTTTCCATATCTTTCTAGAACTGAGAGACCATAAATTTGATCTGCAGATCATGCACTGACATAGGCTTGATACAGCTCAGTGTGACATTTGCCTTTTTTCAGTGAGGATGCTGCTAGCTGTCGTTTAACTTGCCATACAATTGCAACCCCTGGGTCTTTTCCAGCAAAGCTGCTACTCAGTTGATCAGCCTATACAAGCCCTGTGATTAGCCCAAACCAGAAAGAGAATTTTACACTTCTTGCTGGCCTTCATGGGGTTTCTGTTGGCCCAAAAGATCCCCCTGGATTTAAGCTTTATCATTTGTTGTGTTAAATGCTCCTTTGCATTTAGAACAAATATGAGGAGGATGGTCCATGGAACATTCAAATCCATCCAATATTCCTTCAAACAAAAATGCTGTGGGACAGTGCCAAAATGCTTTCTCTCTTCTCCTCCATTTCTTCATCCACATTATGTTCTGTGATGGAATGGCTGACTACCAAACTGTCAGAGAATTAACTTTCCCTAGTAAATTCATGCTAACTGTTCCCAATTACCTTCTCGGCCTTAACATGCTTGGAAATAAACTCTGTGAGGCCATATCCTTCATCTTCCCAGGGACTGAGTTAGAGCTGATCAGCAGGAAATTACCTGGATTCACTTTCTGATCCATCTTAAAGACATGCACAGTATTTAGCATTAGTATTAGCATTCTTCCCCCTAGTAATCAGTGACCTCCATCTACTACAATGAGTTTTCAGACAGACACTTGGCTCACTAGGATAGCCAACTCTTTCACCACCACTTAGTAATTCCTATCCTATGGACTGGAAAGCTTTCAGCTTCTCTCAGGGTTCATGAACCTACTGCTCCTCCACTGCTGCCTGGCCCTCTGCTTCCTAAACTGTGCTGATATGCACAGAGGCTTGGGGTCAGGCTTTGCCTGTGTAGACTAAAGCAAGTGTTAAGTACTTATCTTATTCCATCTCATCCACCAATAGGCTATCTCTTCCATTCAACAATGAGCTAAACACTATATGTCCTTTGACTGACAGAATCTGCATTTATGCTCCTTGCTAGGTTCGAGTTTCAACTGAGCTTTGGCTTTCCTGCCATCACCCTGACAACCCAATGATGCTGGCAGATCACCTTTAAAGCCTGTTCCTCTTTATACATTTTGTTAAAAGTAGAACTATACTTCATGCAGCTTTGTGCAAAAAATATGAATCATCTTCAATATAGCTCAAAAATGTATATATTCACTTTCAGAAGAATGCTTTTCTAAAAAAAAAAAAAAAATACAGGAGTATTTTTTACTATTACTATTTTTTTACTATTTTTTACTATTACTATTAGTATTACAGGAGAAACAGCACGGTTTCAAAAACTCATTTTCTATAGTGAAAAAGCAATTCTAAACTGAAAAAAAAAAAGAAATACAAGAGAACTACGATGAAATACAAGAGAACATTTCATCTCTTAGCTCAGCAGTTAACTTTTCTCCATTGCAACTCTTTGTATATGATTCACAGAAAAGAGCTATTGGAAAATACATTCAAGTAGTTTAAGAAATTCTGATGAAAACCTTAATTCTTCCCACAAATCAATGCTCATTTGTTCTTTAAAAAGAGCTATTTTGACTTTCCTTGGACCCTTTCAAAACATGATGATTAAATATTTGTCTCTTTCAGTGCCAAATGTCCATGACATACAACATAATGGATTCCCCCCATTGCTACATAAAAGCAGTCCATTAAATCTACCTGGGAGATCTGTACCAGCTTTGGCTTTGCCCCCTGTTGCCCTGAAGACACTCTCACCTACTTTATGTTTCATTCTATGGAAAAAAAAAGTCCAGTGTGCTCATCTATCCTCCTACCAGCCTTCTGCATGCCATAGTAAGATGGCAGATGGCAAAGATAAAAGTTATTCCATATGAAATCAGTGTCATATTAAAGAAATACTCACTAGACCTCACCAAGCAGTTTGTATCAGTAAAGAACCCTGAACTCTATTTTACGTACAAGCACACAGTGCCTATAAACATAAGGGAACAGCACCATCTTCATATTTGTTTCTTGAGAATTTCTCTTTGCCTTGACAGGCTGCTGTAAGATTTGTTCTCAGAAGCTTAAAGTATCTCAGGTCTGCACCTACTGAAATATAAACCATTTACTGACTATTATAATGTACGGATTCAGTGAAGCACAGCAACAGTAAAATGAGTTTCCACTCAAAAATATGAGTTCCTGAAAAGAGCAGTGAGTTCTTACGCTTTATCACCTTGATGCAGTAAATCTTTTAAATACATTTTTAGTTATTGCTGGCTTATGGTCTAAATTTGGGAACAATTTGTTGTTTTGGGTTTTTTTTTTTTTTTGCTTTCAAATGACAACACTGCTGAAATTCAGGGGCTGGATTTCAAAATCCTGAAGTATCTTCTGAGCTAAACACTGGGATTTTCTGTCTAATTACAGATTATATCATAATGCCTTTAACCTATCATAACACTGCCAAGACACCTAATCTACAGATTATTTTCTATACACAGTTTACCCAAATATTCCCACTTCTGCAAGCTTCTGAACCATCGGAACCGCAGAACAAAAATGTACTTAAAATAGCAAGTTCAGACAAACCAATGAAGGGACAAAAGGAGCAATGATTCCACCAACACGGGAAAACATGGAGCAGGCACCCATTCCAACATTCCTAAGGAGAAACAAAAAAATCATTAATTAGTCACATTTGCACATGAAAAACTAAAATTTTAAAAGTAAAGAAGATGGAAGTGCAGGAAAGGGTTTTTAAAAAAGACAACAAAAAAGTTTCACTCATGATTCTGGCCATACCAACTGGCAACAAAAAGTGAAATCTAAACGAAAACACCTGAAAAAAGGAATTAAATCATATGCTTTGTATTCTGAGAAAAGCACAAGTCCACTGCACGTTCAGAATTCTAACATATGCATACATTCAAGATGACAAAAAAAAAAAAAAGGTGTGATTTCAGTCATTGCATCTTATCTCTTCCTGAAACTCTGGCTAGATTCCTTTATCCATATCAGCAGATTCACCCAACAGAGAACAGCTTTACAGGATAGTTTCAATGATGTCTAGCCACTAATAGTGATAGCCGGCAAACAAATACATGTATTAAAAATTGCACCTGTATAATAGATGCCTTTATCTACTCATTCACCACAAGCACAGGGAACTTCTGCCTTCGAAGCACCAAATTGCTTTCACAAAGCTTACTGACTGGTTGCATCTTTAACATTGCTTGTTGAGGAAGCACAAATTTCAACAGAATTGTCTGGTTTATAAAGCACTGAGGAACCCACAGATGTTGTTGGTCAGCAACACTACTGTTATTCTCATTAGTGGAGAGAAGACTGTGAGAACACTAAGCACCCAAAAGGTCTGTTTTATTATTAGGGAGAATACAGTTACTCTGAAGAGAACACTGCACATTTGAGGGAGATGGAGGTGAGGATAAGAGAAAAGAAAGTTCAATACATACGAGACCATACAGGTAATCATTGTATGTTAAGTGAAAATCTCAAATGAAATGTAATTATTAGAAAAAGAGAAGTAAAAGGTGATCAGGGAAAAGAACCAGAAAAATGAAAATCTTAAAATTAACTTGCGTTACCTGATCACTGTGGGATAAAGTTCTGACGTGTAGATGTAGACAATGTTAAATGCAGCACTGATTGTCAGTTTTCCCAGCAAAGAAAGTGAGCGACTGTTCACCACTGCAAAAACTCCAGTATCTGATAGAGAAAATGTGTCACTTAGGCTCTTTTGGCACAGCCTTTCACTTGGAGAGATACCTACGAGTTGCATGTGTATTTATACTGACAGCTCATTTGGATAATGGAGATGTCCCAAAAAACATCATTTCTTGGAATTACTTCAGAAACACTGGGAAGGAGTGACTGTTGTGATTAAAGTGGAAGTGTAGGACAGAATCCAAAGATGAGTTCAAACCCACATTTTTTCCAACAAGATTTTCTTAAGATCCTAGGGAAATTGCTACTTATGGCTTAGCTTCTGTGGCTTTTAAGTACAAGCCTACTGCACTGACAAGCAAAAATTCTTAGGCTTTTGGGGAAGGAGTTTTGCAACTTCTTACTAAGCATTCCAGAAACAAAAGGAAACATTTACCTTTCTTTTTAGGAAGAAACATGACAATAAGACAAGCCAATCCTCCCAGGAACAGAAACGCGCTCAGTGTTCTCTTGCGACCAAACCTGGTGTCCAAAAAAGGATAACCAATGAAGCTTCTACATTCACCTTGTCTCCATTTGCAGAAATATCAAATGCCATCTCCACAAACACCCCCTCTCCCACTGCTTTAAAAATTTTCTGCTGCTCTCAACAAAATGAGCACTGAGAAGTCTTCATGCTGTAGCTCACAATCTCAAGGATTTTTATTTCCTTCCCACTGTGTGCATGTGTGTAAACCTTCTCAAGAGACATTTAGAAAAGAGACTGGAAAGTGAATTACACACACAAAAAAAAAAAAAGTAAGACAATGTCTGGAGTACAACAGCTCAGGAAAGGGCTAAGAGTCTGCTCTTACACTTGTGCAGCAGCTGTAAAATTACATCACACAACAGTTTCAGCTGCTGAATTTAGTTGTAGCATCTTTCACCTAACAAAATGGGAGTTACAAGACAGGTGGGAATCATGCCATCTTGTGTCAGGATAGAGTCAGCACAGCTAATTCTACTGACAATCATCTTTATCTTTGAGCCATACAAGAATGAGTTACTGAGCAACAACTTAAACCTTATTAGAGGTGAAGATCTACCAGCAGCACTTTCAAATAAAAAATCATTTCTCAAGAGAATGTAATGAACTAGAAATGGCAAAGCAGAAAGTTCCATACAATGTCTGTGGGCTAGGAGGTACAATTTGAAAGAAACTTGTATTTTATATAAAAAAAAAAGAAAATGCTAAACACATTAATAGAATTTCATACTTACCATTTTTGGTTAATCAAGTAAATACAGATTGGGTATGCTGGGATTTCTATCAACCCTGATAGGGCTAAATTGGCATAAATGTTTCCACCTAAATCACCCACATTAAGGGTAAGACCGTAATAAACCAAGCTGCACACAAACCTGTAAAAGATAGGGGGGAAAAAAATGTAAAATCAGAGCTGGAACTTTGTCAGCCATATCAAAGCACTCATCTGGTACAGTGTAGTATCAATTTATATATAGTGTTTTAGATAGCAGGCCTTTTTCTACCTTCCTCTAATTTCTACATTCTGGTCCAGTTCTATCCATTTCCAGATTCTGATTTTCATTTCTCTTTTGTGACCCTGAATGAATTCTCTACAGAGAAAAAAGGAACACGTTGCCAATTCATTCTGCAGTAAATCAACAAGGCAATCTCCTAATTCTCATTTACAGAACAGAAAATCGACTGTTCTGCACTAAATATTTGGAAAAGCAACAGAAGTATAGACTTATGCTGACAGCTGAAAAAAAAAAAGTAATTTGTTTTTTTCTTAATAACTCTTCCCAAAAATGTGCATTATAAAGGCATCTGGATGAACAGAACAAACCAAAATAAGTACTTTTGGATAATTACATTTCTGCTAGTGACTAAAGGTAGTGTCATAGATTCCTGCTCCATACTACAGCAACTGCTAGCACTGGCAACCTCAGGTAGCACTTTCTTTTAGGAAATACACATTAGATAAGGTAGGCCACCAACCTACTAACAGGCTCCTAATACACAAGAAATAATCCAAATGACTGAAAGTACGGATGCGTAGCATGGAACCAAAGAGGATGACAGCATGACTAATCCCAGCAGCCTTTGAGGGCCAGGAAGGAATATACAGCTCTCAACAGCTCTACGCCTCGAAAAGCACAAGTGAAACGCAAAGATAAAATATCTCAGAACTAAATTGTAAAAATGGCTTAACTTTAGAAATATACTGAGGAAATACTACAACAGGGACCCCTAAAAATAAAGGTTGAGACAATGTACAACATGCAGGATTAGCCGATTCTCAGCAGCACATTCCCTCTAAGAATCAAAGCAATACAGCTGGGCCTACAAAGTATTTCAAGTACCAGGTGAACATCATGATTAAGGTGCGTCCCAAGAGAACCCTGTATCGGAAGAGGTCCAAGAAACTGCCAGCTTCTCTGGGGCTCCTCTCAGCAGGGAGTTTTAATGAAAAAGTGTGCTTCTGCTTGCGGTTCTTCTTTGCAATGAGGTAGAGGGCATCTTCTGCTTCACTCAGCCGGCCTTGTGAATATAGCCAGCGGGGGGACTCTGGAATAAACCTGTAACACGCATTTTTTTATTTATATATACAAGTTATATATATTGCAGAGACAGCTTGAGAGATTTTCTATTCTACAGTGCTGGGCTTGCCTATGGAAATAAGGCTGAAATAGGTTTCAGTATAAGATAATTTCTCAAACAACCCTTCAGGTATACAACGCATTTACTGAAACAAAGTACGTTGGAAATAAAGGGAAAATAATTCGTATGCAATTTAGGTAACAAAAAATTGTGTGTACATGTATACACACATATATACACACAACAGTATAAATTACAATATCATTAGGATTCTTCCTAATGGAATTCAGAATCAAAGTCACTCCACGTTATTAAAAGTAAAATGTTTTACAATGTTTACTAGTTGTCTTCTGTTCCTCACGTTCCAGCATTTTCCCTCTTTATAATTAATAATAATTATAGTAATCATTCTTCTAATTCTCTCCTGTACATAGCAAGGCTGTACAAAAATAATCATGCTCTTGCACTTCACATACAGCATCCACTCAATAGGTCTGTAACTCCAATACAGCCTTCAAAAGAATTTATTCTCAGATTCCCAGAACTAATTTAAACTTCTGCACAGTCTTAAAAAGGATCTGGCAAAAGGCTGAAGTGACATTTTTTCCTGGAGCGAGTGTTTCTATGCTTTTAAGAAGAATTCAGAAAATAGTATGTTTCCTTCCTCATAATAAAAAAAGAAATCTGGTAACTTATCATATAAATAGTCGTTTTTAAGTAGCGTAGGTGGGAGGCAGTGTGAAATCTGGGAATGAAAAATTCTTATTTACAGTAAAAAGGGGCTCTGAGCACAGCTCTGAAGTCCCAAGCATAAAGAAAATTGAACAGGTTATCTGAACATTAAAATAAATAGCAAAAAACCCTAAATATCACCTTATGAAGTTTTGAAACATCAGAAATGTCAAATATGTCTTTCACCTCATAAACAGCCTTTAACATGCTGCTTTCTTTGAAAGGCTGTTTTGACTTTAGCAAGAGGGTAGTTAGCAAAGTTAAACAGATATAGGAAGGAAAAAGCCTTAAATTAGAACTGCAGCTAAACTTCATTTCTTATCAGTTGCTGATATGAAGAAAGATACGACAGAGGAAGAAAACACTGTACCACTGCACCTCATACCTTTCAGTGCTGAACGTCACAAAGACCCTAGCTACTTTACTTTAATAAAGAAGCCTTTTTCCAATTCTTTCCTAATCAGATTTTTGGAAAAAAATCAAAGGAAGCTGCCCATTTGCACGTCACCTTTAAGAATGTGCAAACAATTTTGAGGCGGTTCTTTCTACGTAAACAGAATTAGAAGAGAAATAAGTTATCACATAAGCACATTTCTGTATCTTTTATGACGTGTTACACAGTATCTTGTAGCATACCAGAGGACAGTTTGAAGAATCTAACACATAACAGTGAAGGAGTAGGATGTATACCACCTCAAGACTAGTCCAATTTACAGTACTAACGCATATACAATGCAGCATACACTTGCATTTTCAGATATTGCAGCATATAGTAAGCACATAACACGAGGTGGCCAAAGCTGAAAAAAAATATCTTTGTTACTGCACTTCATACCAGCCTAGAGAAGCTCCTTGACCTAATTGTATTTTCTCTCATTACTGATATCTTCCTCGAAGTTCAGCAGTTCAACTACTTACAGAGAGAGAAGAAAGACTACTGTTCCTTCCAGGTTAACCACAACAGCCAGAGTCCTCCAGGAGCGAATGAAGTACCCTAATAAAGCATACTGGGCAATTCCCACAGCAAAGAACAAGCCACCAATAGATCCTGACACACAATAATAAAAAAAAAAAAGAACAAAAACACCATTATCACTCTATTAAAGAACACTGTTAAATCCTAACACATGGAAATACAGAAAATAATTCTTCATTAAGAACATTTCACTCAGTAGCACAGACAAACACAAAGCTATTTATCCAAAGAGAATTCCATCCTTCACCCACACAGCACAGATGCATTGCACCTAATTACAAACATCAAGACAAGTCCAAAAAGCATCTTCCTACATTCTCTCACCTAAAGCCCTGTATAGAATTAAAGTGTAAATATGTTCTAGTTTACCATGTATAAAAAGTAGTACAAACAACTGTGTGGTGCTTAACCACCTGCTGGATTAAACCACAACACACAGTCTCAATTCCAGTGGATAGAGCTCAGCTAGCATAAACAGTGGATAAGTTTTAAGCTGCTTAACACCCACAGGGGATTTGTTTCAACTTGAGTATCTTAGTCAGCTTGGGTGATGTAGAAACCTGAATGGCCAAGTTACCTACTGTGCTTGCCTAAAATACACATTAAATAAAGCAGGACTCAAAGATTGTGGTTACACAGAAAGCAGAGTTAACTTTGTAAATGCTTATTAGCTTTGGTGTGTCTCGTGCAGTATGTACAACTGAAATCCATAAGTTCTGACAATAAAGACACCAACACTCAACTTTTACCTGCTAATGCCCAGTAGGCAGTACCCACACACTCATTCAGTAGAACAAAGGCCACCAGTGACATCCCACCATTCATCACCCCTACCAAGAATCGAGACACGGCAAAGAATTCATATGAGGGTGAGAATCCATTTGCAATGGCAAACAAGATGTCAAGGGCAAAACCTGGAAGTAAGAGGCAAAAGGTTGAACTTCAGGAAAAGGTAGTAAAATAGAAGTGCTTATCAATGTCTTTATTTGACATTCACTTGATGCCTTAAGCAATCAAATTCAACAGCTATAAAACATGGCTACATTTCACAGGTATGGGTAGAAATACAAGAACCCAAAGTCAGTACCATAAAAGGAAGAACACAAGGAGAGATTTCTGATACCTGATTTGCAGTACTAAACCCCCACATTCAATTCATGGAAGACAATTTTTCAAATATTTAAAATTACTTCCTGGCTCCTGTTAAGATGGTTTCATGTTTATGTTCATACAGAAACCCCAGGCTAAGCATATGATCAAATATCTCCCCTCATTTTTGGAAAGTACTCCATATAGATTAGAGAACCTTTATCAGGGGATAGTACATGGGAACTTTGCACTGCATGGCAGATTCATTTTTAATCAGGTTTGAATTAATGAGATTGTTTCTTTGAAGGAAAAAAAGTGCACTGTTTTTAGTTCTACATGCTTATCCATCTACAAAAAAAAAAACAACAAACAAACATACACAAAACACAAAGTTCCAAATGCTTGATTTAGGGAGAGTAAAAACAACAAAAAAAAACCTTTGTGAATTTTAAAGTGACGATCCCAAATACAAAAAAAAAAATTCATGCAGACAAAAGATAAAAAAAAAATTTACAGAAGGTTATACATATAAGAACGTTGCTAATGAATTATTAGGAATATTAATCACTTCTGAGCATGACAACCATTGCTTGTGCTTGTTTTTTAGCAAATGTAGTACAATTCCTAAATTCAGAACATCTCCTTAGTACTCAGGTACTGATTGAATAGTAGAATATTAATTTCTTGCCCCCAGAAATACACTGGAAAGACAAATCTGTACTAAGTTGCCAGAAGAACTGGGCTCTTGCAACTCATTTTCAGAGATTCAACATCTCCACTTCATTCATTTTGATTGTTTACCTGGAAAAAGATCACTACTGTTACCTGTGAGATAGATTTTCTTCCTTCCAAAGCGATCTGAGAGCTGGCCAAAGGAGATTGCCCCAACAAACACACCACTGAAGTAGAAAGAACTGGCAGCACTGACTTTGTATGATGTGTTGCCAATTAAAAACCACTGGATGGAGACAAAAAAGGAGAATTCAACAGAGTCAAAGTGGTTCACCAACAGCTAATAGTTGGAGGGGGGTGAAACATACTTTCAGGAAGATAAAACTGCTTAAATCTCCTAAGCATTCCAGTCAGTCTGCCATCACACAGGCACTGAAACAAGTACTTTCTTCCAAATTCTCTGGAGACATAGTAACCAATTGCACAGCTCCCCAAATCAAGTACAGTCTTTGATTCTGAACTCAAGAATAGATACCTCATGGGATATTGTAATTTTGCAGCCTTTGTCCCCTCTCTTACTTCTCTTGCCTTTTCTCACATCAAAACTATGAGCTTAAATATATTCAGTCCTACCTCTTGGCATTTATCACTGCAGGGTGTAGGAATACTACACGAAATTAAGCATTGTGATTCGTGTCCAGAAATATTTCTCTCCTCCTTATGAACAGTTTTGTCAATGTGAAACACTCTGGTAGCTTTTGACAAGTTTTCTGGTATTGCTCATCCTTCTATTTATTTTTACAGTCATCTTTGTGCAACTCCCAATTCTTCTCTATTCCAAACACACACCTGATCTTCAGATGTTCTTACAGACCTAATGTTGCCTCATAGATCAGCCTGGCAGAGAAAATTCTTTCTCCCACAACACTATACAGTTAAATTATATCATGTTCTCACTGTTCAAAATTTATTTCCTTTTTTATTCTAAAAGCTTACATGGCGTTCTTTTTCTTTTTCTGCTTCTCTTTTGTCTTGAAATAATGTTTTCTCTCAGTGATACCAGTTTTTTCTTCCTGGGCAGGTAAGCTGGTGATTATGTCATTATCCCTGTAATAACAATCTAATCCTCTCTTCATAATCTCTTCCCCTACCAAAACCCTATTAGATATCCACTCTAGCCAGGCTTATATTATTTCACATCTCAGCTACGAACTACCTTGCCATGGAAAGAGAACCATGCAATTAAGTCTTACCAAGATTACAGGGCTAACAAAATATAATCACACAGAAGCTCCAGGAAAATAACTTGCTTACTCTCAGTACATGCTTCATCAAATTGTCACTTAAATGGTGAAGCTTTTACTGACATGATCAGCAGTAGAGTGTCAGGACTCTGACAAAATTATCTTCTGAAACTAACCAGGAGACCTCAGATCAGCTTGTCTAGATTTAGAAAAATAATTCACAATAAAGTATATCTCTATAATAATAGCATATGATGAGATTACACTTCACTTGAAATAACATGGACAGTTGTTTTGTAAGAGCTACAAGAATTATTCCCCAATTTTGGTAGAAGTGTTGGAAAAAAAAAAACCACAACATGATCTCAGTGACATTAGATTCTCTCCGAATCATTCAGAGATCAAAGCATAATTTGATTGTGGTGAAGTAAAATTTGTTCAGAGGTGTTCTGCAGGTTAATCTCAATGACTAAGATGACCTTTAAAGGACTTGAGATTTCTCTTCTACAGAGAGGATATCACACATCTTTTGACATCAGATTTTTCATTGCAAGTTTGCAATGGTCACATAACTAGTAAATGATACAACAAAGTACACATTAAAAATATCCTCCTGAAATGTTGAAAAAAATTCTCTACATGCCAGTAGAAAGACTGCATTAGTGATCAAAAGCCCCAAAATAAGATCAAGTAGTTTTTGAAGAAATGCAGTGAGATCTTTATAATTAACCCCATTTTCAAGTGTATGATACATGGGGTTAAAGTTCCGAAGAAAGTTTATCTCAGGAAGCAACAGGATTTTTATATATGTGGATCTTTACTGAAAAGTTCAGACTCTGCTTTGAAATTCTTTAACATACAAGATACCTTGGGATACATTTTTATGTTGTACTTTAAGTTCTTCACTCGCATTTTTTCACCTGTGCAGCTAAGATGCACAAGAATCTTCACAAAATTTACGTCCAAAGGCACTGCTTGGCTTCAAAAAACATGTCTGACTTGTCAAGATTAAGAGAATAAATAATTACTGGAAAACTGAAAACCAAAAAAGTGAAAAGCTCAGACAAAATTTAAAGAACTGACAATTGGCTTTAAGTTACGCTCAAAGAAGCCACTGTCCATTAGGATTTTAATTTCAATAGAGGCATAAGCACTCATCCTCTTTATTATCAGAATAAGAAGCAGTACATGTTGTACACAATTGCTTGGTACTGTTCCAATACTGGCAGTTATTAATATGCTCATAACCAATAAATTTAAGTACTTTATGGAACTAACTCGAGCAGCATTAACACATTTGGACAATAGCCACAAATTATCAAGTAATGCTATGTTGTTGAACTCAGCTGTACAGAGCTAAATTCAGACCTTACTCAGATAGGGCTCTTGCACAGAAGAACAACATTAATAGATATTGTAGGCCTTAGCAACGGCAGGTGATGCACACAGCACAGCATGAAAGCTGGAATCATTCCTCTAGAGACAGTGGCCGTACCATCAAAGAGGACACTTATAAAACATAGAGGCCACAGTGACAAAGCTGAAGATTGTTTTGGGATAAAACAGATGAGGTTGCTTCATACGTCTTGCTCTCCATTGCCTGTGCCCTCCATGAAGTTGTAAAGAAAGAGCAGAAGCAACTTTCTCTCCAATTCCTTCACTTCTTCCTAATAACAGGATGGATCCACTACACGCATCTGTCTTACCAAGGAAATTGCAGATGGCAGATAGAAAGAGCTTAAGGTATATACAAGATTTTAAACACATTAGTACAATAACATGATCCTAACCCAATGGTGGAACCAGGCTATCTGATCCAATACCAACCTTCCACATGGAAAAGGTGGGCAGTTTTGGTGCAGAACATTGGTTGAGATTTGCACTGCAAAGCAAGGCAGTTAGCATAGGAATAGGTTACTTGTTCTCTACCTGGAAGAAGCACCCGCTTCATTTGCTACTCAAAACATGCATTAGTACAGGAGAAAGAATCAGCAGCACCATCAGCTTTCCTCCCCACTCTGTCAATGAGATTTACTGCTCACACACAGAGCGACAAAACCCATTTCAGACTTACCTCAGAGACTATTGATGTGAAGCTGCTGCTGAAGTGTACGTGCTTATGAACTTCGCTGCCATTGGCAGTAAGAAGCCATTCCCCAAAGGCTCTCTGCTCACTTGCTGACTGGTTGCTATGGCTCTGGTTAGCAAAGAGCAGTTCCAGATCCCAGTGGTACGGAGGAGTTGCCCCCACCAGTGCAATAAGGATGGCTTCAGTGGCCACATAGAGCTGGAAAGAGAAAGACATCAAAGATGCTAAACATACATGCAAGTAGTGCTTCCCTTACAGCTGGATCTATTCAGCATTTAAATAATCCTATTTTATATTTTCCTTCTGCCACTACAGCAGATTGTATGTTACAAACAGTCTCCATCTATTCAACATCACAAAGCGGAGAACGAAAACTTCACCAAAACAGTTCTTGCATTTCTGACTTGTGGAATATTTGAGAGAAAGGAAGTTCCCCTTCAGTCAGAAACCACCCCCAAATGTCACACACAGCAAGTACAGCACTTGCATACTTAGAGTTGTTAATCAAAGAATGGCTTGGAAGGGACCTCAAGGACCATCAAGTTCCAACCCCCCTGCCAAAGGCAGGGTTGCCAGCCTCTGGATCAAGTACTAGATCAGATTGCCCAGGGTCCCCATCCTCCAGAGATGGGACATCCACAACCTCTCTGGGAAGCCTGTTCTAGAACCTCACCTCTCTCAGTAGAAACCTTCCCCCTGACATCTAATATAAATCTTGCTTCATTTAGTTTAAAATCATTCCCCTTTGTCACATCATTATCTACTCTCCATTTCCCTCACATTCGTAAACTCCCTTTAAATGTTGTGGGGAGACCTCATTTTGGCTTTTCAATCTTTTCCTTTCCAGGCTAAACAAGCCCAGTTCCTTCAGCCCTTTGATCACTTCTGTGGCACTCCTCTGGGCCACAAAAAGCTTTCCAAAAGCTCCACATTTTTGCTGTTAGCAGCCTCCTCCAGATGTGGTCTCACAAAAATAGAGGCGGGGATAATCACCTCACCTGCCCTGCTGGCCACCCCTCTTCTGATGGAATTCAGGATGCCATTGGCCTTCCAAGCTGCAAGCACACACTGCTGGCTCATGTTAAGTTGGGCTTTAACCAGGACCCTTAAGCTCTTCTCAGTAGGACTACTCTCAAGGAGTTCTTCTCCCACTTTGTACACATATCTGCGATTACCTCAACCGAAATGCAAAAGCTTGCACTCTGCTTTGTTGAACCTCGTTAGGTTCACGAGGGCTCACTTTTTGAGTTTATCAAGGTCCCTCTGGATGGCATCCCTTCCTTCTGCTGTATCAACCCCACTGCTCAGCTTGGTGTCATCAGCAAATTTACTGAGGGTGCACTCAGTCTGATCATCACTCATTACCAGCCTCTACCTGGACACAGAGCCATTGACCACAACCCATTGACTGTGATCTTCCAAGCAATTCCTTATCAGCTGAATAGTCCACCATTCAAATCCATATCTTTCTAATTCAGAAATAATGATGTGGTAGGGGACCACGTCAAAGGCCTTGCAGAAGTTCAGGTAGATGATATCAGTTGCCTTCCTTTGTCCACTGATGCCATCACTCCATCACAGAAAGCCACCAGATTGGTCAGACATGATCTTCCCTTGCTGAAGCCATTCTGGCTGTCGTGGATCACCCACTCATCCCTCATGTACCTTAACATGTCGTCCAGGAGGATGCATTCCATGATCTTCCCAGACACAGAGGTGATGCTCACCAGTCCGTAGTTTCCTGGGTTTTTCTTCCTCCTGTCTTGAAAACAGGAGCTATGTTTCTCTTTTTCCAATCCCTGGGGACTTCACCTGACAGTCAAGATTTTTTTCAAATATCATGGACAGTAGCGCAGCAATCACAGCAGCCAGCTTCCTTAGGACCCTGGGATGCATACCATTCAGCCCCACAGACTTGTACACATCCAGTCTCACGAGTTGGTTTCAGACTTCCTCTGCCCTTACAGTGGGGTGGAGCTTGCTCCTCCAGTTCCCATCTAGAGGTTCAGAGATGCAAGAATACTGGTTGCCAGTGAAGACCGAGGCAAAGAACTCACTCAAAGATCTCAGCCTTCCCCATATCTGTCATAGCCATTTCTCATTTAGCAGAGGAAGTGTGCTCTTTGGCCTATCTCTTCCAACCTACGTACCTAGAGAATCCCTTCTTCTTGTTTTTAACACCTCTCACCAAGTTCAGTTCCACCTGTGCCTTATTTTCCTAATCCCATCTCTACAAGTTCAGACAACATCCCTGTATTCTTCCCAGGTGACACATTGATGCTTTCACTACCTTTGCTTGTCTATTTCCTTCAGTTTGACCAGCAGGTCTTTGCCAAGCCATGCTAGTTTCTTGCCTTCCTGGACACTTTTTTTTTCCTTATTGAGGGATGAAATCTCTTTCACTTCCATAAAGGCATCCTTAAATAGCAGCCAGCTTTGTTCCACTCCACTGTCTCTCAGGACTTCTTACCAGGAGGCTTCATCCAACAGTTTCTTCAACAGCCTGAGGTTCAGGGTCCTGACTCCACTCTTTGCCAGGCCTGCGTTCCCTGAGATCACAAACTCAACCAGGTCATGGTCTCTGCAGACCAGGCTGCTTCTGATCTTAATATCTTTAATAACCTCCTCTACATTGGCAAGCACCAGATCTGCAATGCTTCACCTCCATTTGGTTTGCCCAATACTTGAACCAGAAAGTTATCGTCAGTGGTCTCCAGGAGTCTCCTGAATCACTTAAAGCTCACTGTGCTGCCTTCTCAGCAAATATCCAATTATCAGATTAATGCCCCAAAAGTCTTTAATGCAAGTATGTTATACTGTTTTATTCTCCGCTTTTACCTGTGTTATTCATTCCTTTAATTTGATGTTTAGAATACATCTCAATTTCATATTCCCACTTACACCAATTTTTTTCTGTTAACCTGTTTTACTCTTAAAAAGAGACAGAGGCACATGTGAATATATGGATACTTTTAACGTTTATACACCCACTCAAGGCCTACATACAGTAACTAATAGCTGGTTTTGTTTAAGGAAAAGAATAAATAAAAGCACTGGAATGCCAGATGGTTCAAACATGGCACAGAGCAGGGCAGTTGGTGCGTACCCAGAAGAACAGCTACCGGCTGTTGCTTTAACAATCTCCAGACCATTACAACTTCATCTTAAAATCCAATGTTTTAGACCTCTCTGAACACAGGTAACACAACTCAGGAGCTCTGACACAACAGGACACTGTTGATTTTCCTGCCAATTACTTTTTCCATGAAGAAAACCTGTCATGCTACTCCATTCCACAAACTTTCTTTCAACCATCTCCTTCTTGAACAGGCCTTGCTATGTTCCAAGCACATCCTTGGTGTGTTCCTGGAAAGAGCATCCCCCTTGGGAATGCAGTCTCCCACAAGGATGCTGTACAAGTAATATGCAGAACGTGGACAGGCACAAAAAATAGCCAAGAACTCCTGAATTTTGATGTAAGCAATAACAGGTGATCCTATTCTGCTCTATACTGAGAAACAGCTGGAGTTAAAACCCAGTCTGAACCAGAATTATTACTGTATTAATAAAGACACCCCTGAGTTATTACATCTAGAAGAAAAAACGACCTGTTAAATTACATTAAGATAAAGAACAACTTCTAGGCAGATAACCATGAGAAGTGAAAGACCTCACCCAAGAAACAGGGCAGTGAGTAAGATTAGATGAGGAAAGGGTCATGAAAAAGCTGTGTGAACATTCTGTTAGGGACATGTGGACACAGTACCCTCAATTCCTCAGGAACAGTCTGAAATCAGTGAAAACTGAGAGTTATAGGTCACCGTCTCTGGTGCATCCTTGTGCTTTGCCTCACACAGGCAGTACCAGGTCAGGACTAAGCAATAACATCCTTGGTCTTGTGAAATGATAAACATTTTTGAAGCAGCTCAGGAAATGAAATCCTCAAGGCATGTGGCTTAGGGAATGAAAGCAGGATGCTCTTCATTCTTTGCTCCAGGTTAAGCTCAACCCAGCTACAAAACATGAAATTGAAAAATAAATGATCGCAGGCATGCTAACAAATACAACAAGTATCTTTTAAATAAAAAATTCGGCCATAAGCAAGCAAGGAGAGAACAGAAACACTTCCAAGTAATATGCCAAATCAGAAAAACAGACAAAGATGATGACACGCTGAGTACAGATAAATAGTATTTGATAAGATGTACGTCAAAGTCACTACTGTGACAAGACTTTTTCCAAGTAATCATTTGTCTTTTCCTTTGGCTAACAGGTGTAGTTAATCCTCTTGATCTTGTTGCAAAGCAAACAAACAAGTTTTTTTTTTTTTTTTTTTTTTTTTTTAAATCTAAATAGAAGTGAATGAAATTATAAACAGGAAGGGGATGTAAACAGGAGGGGAACGGCTGTTTACAAGGGTGGATAGTGATAGGACAAGGGGGAGTGGTTTTAAACTGAGACGGGGAGGTTTAGGATAGATATTAGGAGGAAGTTTTTCACACAGAGGGTGGTGACACACTGGAACAGGTTGCCCAAGGAGGCTGTGGATGCCCCATCCGTGGAGGCATTCAAGGCCAGGCTGGATGTGGCTCTGGGCAGCCTGGTCTGCTGGTTGGCGACCTGCACACAGCAGGGGGGTTGAAACTAGATGAGCATTGTGGTCCTTTTCAATCCAAGCCATTCTATGATTCTATGAAATTTCTTGACCAGCTTTCTCAATATTCATGACTTCCAAGAAGACAAAAAAAAACCCAAAAAATCTAATCTAACTAGAGGGAAGAAACTTTAAATCGTTTCACTCATGTGAATCAACACACACAAAATCATATAAGGAACCTTTTAAACTTAATTCATCCACTTTGAAGTACAAATGAAAGAGAAAAATAAGCAAGTCTTATTCTATTAACACGTGCTTTCAAACTTTTTAGCAGCTTATCAGCAGTTCACAACCAGGCTAGTCACTCTAGACAAATCCCAGCTGAAGCATTCACTGCTAAACAAAATTGAGTCAACCACTAGTTTCTGACCTTTCAGACACAGAAACATGAAAAATGCATCTTAAACAAAAGACAACAAATGACCTTGGTAAAAGCCTATGACAAAGAGAGAGCTGCATTTTCAGCTTAGAGTCATTTCTCCCAGCCACAGTACAAGCAGATGAAATGCTGGAGGCCACCTTATTTTTGCAAGTCTGATGA